GTGGGGGAGGGGGGGGGCGACCGTCCTCCAGTAGATATTTACCAAGCTGAACTCTGCACAAAGTCCAATGTGTCCAACTATCTGGAACACGTTGTCCAGCCAACACTCCAAACCGCGGACCTCGCTGACTGGTCGAAATGCACCAGATGGACGATTTGACCCTTTTGTCACTTTTGGTGATTGATGTTGTTTTTAAAAGCACGAGCCCATCGGAGCGACTTTCGGCGCAGGGTCTTTCAACAGCGTGGACATTTCCTGTCAGCACAAACAAGACGTTGCTCAACGAAGCTGTGGTTTTTCCTGGAGGGGATTTCTGCTGCATTTGCAGTAATGTCTCCTTTTACCACAAGGATGCCGGCCAATTAAAAGCTGAAAATCTGTTATTCAGCACAAGCAAATGACTGTTGACTGCTGTGCAGAAGCCCACAGCGGGCTTCCTCTGGAAAGTGTAGGGGTTAGCTTCCAGATGGTCAACGGATCTGCTTAATGCACCAGAGGGGAGGATGAGACTCCTGCTGCAATTAAATCAAACGAGTCGGCGACGACACTTTCTTCGCATACCGTGCAAATATTGTTAAGGAAATCTTGACGGACAAAATCTGATCCTTACTAGACGGGATTAATACGTGGTCCATGTGTGGGTGCTCGTGTTTAAGATATAAAGGGGAATTCAACGTTGTCACACATGAAATTCAACAAGTCTCAAGGAGTATGGAGCCCCTTTTCCACAAAACTCCTCTCTTACATCCGTTTCCGTATTTTCGGCCCTTTAGTGGCACTTTCTTTGTCATCTCAGATACAAATCCTCCGCTTCTCTGTCCGAGCAACGCTTTCAAATGACTCCACTTCGAACATGAAGCGAGACAGAAAAAAGATGGACACTCATAATCATCTACAATGAGTGTGTTGTTCAAGATTCAAGGTTCAAAGATTTTCACTGTCAGTTACACACGCCCTGTGTATTGAAATTATTGTGCTTGCCTTTTCTGGAAAGCAAAGCAATTTTAAAATTAAAATTAAAAAAAATATTTACATAAATGTACATGAAATAAAAATAAAAACGAGGTAAGGATAAGGCAGAAATGAGGTAAGGAGGAAAAGTGCAAAACTGAGCAGGTTGTAAAAGAAAAAATTCTTTATATTGCACACATTTCATTTAATTTAAAAGTACAGTAACAGTAAGTGAAATCCTAACAAGCTAAAGTTGTCTATTACCTCGTTAAAAAGAAACATCCATGTACCTGATTGTGGTGAAAAAGTGGTTTTATTGAACATGTGAGGCAACATCATTAGTGGCGGAAAAATGAATTCATTGAAGATGAAATAATGAGTTGCAAGTTATGAGTAAGTGAGTCAATAAGTCATGTAGGTGCACGTTTAGAGCTTTTAACACTGGCGAACACTGACAGCAGAGAGTCACCCAACATGTTGATGGTAAAAAGGGATTAGCTGTCAGTTTACACTGAACATCTACATGTGCACCACAACTATTTCAACTTCATTCCACCAATAATGAATGAACTGCTGAGGGGCGCCGGGTCGAGGAGACGGAGGGCAGGTGGGTGCCGACGGAGCCGAGAACCACTGAGACGGCCACACAGACACCGGCAGGTCCCCCACATGGCACGACATAAGGAGCGCGAGCTCCGAAATCCCTCCACCCTTCTCCACCTTTCTCCACCCGCCATCCTCTCCTCCTCTTCTCCCGCCGCACATCAGCTCTGTGAGAGAAGGCCGCGGAAGCCGCGAGAGCAAGTGGAGCATTTTGAATATCTATTTTTGCCGTGTTACGCGTCCTCAGAGGACACGCCGAAGCGCACAGTGCTGAATCACTGAAGCCACGCGTGACACCTGGCTGCTGCCGCCGGGTGAAAACAGCGACGGCTGTTATTTGTGTTTTCGTATTTCTCTCGATTGCAATCGATGGAATCGACGCGTTGCCCTCTACAACTCCCGCTCACCTCAAACTAATGAGGAAGAGGCCAATTACAGCGCCGATCGCCTTCCAAGTCTTCGTTAAAGGCCCGGTCCGTGTCTGCGGGCCAAAGAGGAGAGTGGAAGGAGTTCTTGACCTTGGCTTTGTGTAACTTCACTTTTGTCAAAGGAGGCATCACCAAAACAAATGAATTAAAAAAACAGCCGTATTTGCCGGTGAAAGAGATATTTCTCAGCTTTCCAGTGCGATAGAGATGATGGAGGAACGAAAGCATGGCCGTAATCTCCGGCATCCGCTATCAAAGCTCTCTGTGTCTATATCGCTTTCTCTCTCTTCCCTTCTAGGCTCATTTGTCCTCTTTTTTTTTTTGAATTTCTCCCCCCTCCCCATCTTTGCCAACCTTCCCTTACTGTGCCACTTTGTGTAACTCTATTGCCCCTGAAACGTTATAACCAACCACACCAGCAGCGCTGCTACCACTGCAGGGCTCGTCCAGATGTGCAGTGGATCAGACCGGCATCACCAGCAGACACTGAGAAGAGTCACTGGATGTCACATCCAGGATGTACTGTACGTGCCGCCGGGCTTCCCAGCTGTGGGGGACTTTCATCCGCGACACCACAGAGAAGGACCACTTCCGGTATTCATTACAAATGGCTGTCACCATGTGAGCCAAACAGGAATGTTCCAACGCACGTGAAGCATTTCAGGGGGAACTACACTATCAATTAGAGCGCGACCTTTTCTTTGCTTGGGCTTTGGCCTTTGCGTAATCATTTGGCTGATGGTTGGATAATGGAGTTGCAGTCCGGGGATGACGAGAGACGTTACATTTAGGACACCTGGCTTCGCAGGAAAACACGCAGGATGTAATTTGAACGGTAGAAAGAATGCACGTACCGTAAAGTAATTCACGTCTCAGTTTGGCCAGTGCTTGGAGAGCAAAAAACACCAGTGCCACTGTTTGCTCACCTCCGCTCTCTTCCTCGACTGGCGAGGTGTCTGCGAGGTTCGGGCCAGCACCCTGCAGAGAGGAGTCCACCTCATCCAAACGAGGCCTGACAGGCGACTGCGTCCACGACGCCGCGTGCACACTGGGACCGGCCGCCAGGGGCATTCGGCTAAGACGTCGGCCAACGGTATTTGCTGACTGCTTTTTCTCCTAATTGGGAAGTTATTTAAAGGAACCTTCCTGGTGGTGTCATTTTTAATTACTCTGTAAGCCTTGCTACTGAGATCCAAGAGAGAGGGACAGATTGCCTGTGCTCGGATAGTTGAAGAACGAGGAGACCGGCTCCAAAGGAAGTTTAATTAACTGTTTTCCTAAATTGCAGGCTCAGCATCCTCCTACAGCATCGAGAGCTGCTCCAACGAACGCTGCATGAACACGAGATGTTTCGGAGGGCTTTCTAACTTGGTAATGTGGAAACAAATGCTCCGCTTCCTCCTGTACGCGACCGTCTTTTTTTTTTTTTTTTTTTAAGATGTTCCACAGGACCGTTTCTTTCCCACAGAAGCCGCCGCTCTGGGTTCCTGCGCTCCTCTCCCTCGCTCCCTCCGCCGATTGATATTCGCGCCGAGCAGGCAGCCTGAGCCCCGGAGCTCAAAGGGTTCCGTATCTGTGGTCCACGGCGCTGAAGAGGGTGGAACGCAGTGAAATAATAGAAATCTTAAGAGGTGAGAATCAAGGTAAGCAGAATGCTGTGCTCTTATCCACCCGAATAAGTACCAAGTACTGGTGATACTGTGTTAAGGCAAGATTCTCACTCTAAATCTCTAGTACACAACGTATAGATGTCAGCAAATGTTACAGCCTCAAAAGTGTGCTGATACAGGTTTTTTATCCAACACAGCAGCAGTATATTACTGGTATTTGCCGTTAGCTCCTATTGTCAACGAGAGAAATCACTATTGCACTGATAGCAGATCAAGTGTTTGTTCCATGGTACCAAATCACTTCAGCTTCATGGTCCAGGATGGAAATCCTGACACGTTGGACTAAACAAAACATGGAGGTCGGAATACTTTTCACTGTTTACCTCCCTCTCAACTCGCACGCACACACACACATAAACACGCCCACGCACAACCAGTGGAAGCGACACGGCAAATAATGTTTACCTCTCTGCGGATTGGGTTTAAGAGCGGAACGCTGAGCATTTCAATCCGACCAGTAAACACTCTTAATTGGATTGTGTGCTTATGAGCTTGGATGTGAATCCTCTAAGGACTGTATATTAATGGGCCTAATTGATTCTGATACATATTTACAGCCGTTTACACAACAAATGCCAGCGGTTTCATCACGGGTCTGATAGCAACGCGCTGCGGGCCACGCTTAGGACGACGCCCCCCCAACCCCCATTCTCCCCCCCCCGAGGTTGCCCCTCCGTTGTCGACCTTGTGTGGCGTCACCTGCCTCCGAAGGCTACGTGTCGAGCGATCCGACCTCGTGGCCACATGGGACCTCGGTCTGCTTCCAAAGCCCGGCCTGAACCACAGTTTGGTCCCACTTGTTGGCACGGTGACGCTGTTTGGGGGGGGAGGCGTTCACCTCTTTAGTTTCACCTCACCTGCAATTTGAATTCCATTACTTGCGGTGCCCCCATTTCAAATAAAGCTCGGGCCTATTAATTACCCCGAGTACGGGGTCGGGGTAAAGGTCAACGCGCAATCACAGAATTAAATCAAGTCTCCGTTTAGCTTGTCAGACCTGACAGAAATAATTTGAGTGAACTATTAAATGCTTCAACTACTCAGCGGCAGCTGCAAGAATAAAAGCTCTGCTCCTTTCTCTTTCAAAGTAAAACGATTTTAATTGCAATTAGTCTGAAACTGTTAATGTTTATGATAAACAAAAAGAACAAAAAAAAAACACTGTTACTGCTCCACCCGTGCCTGAACCGTTTAATAAAAGGTGTCAGGCTTAATGAGATCATTTTAAATTTGTGGCGGTTATGGTAATCCTGCATGAATGTAATATCATTATCACGCTTTTAGGCCTACTGAATTAGGGGTTGTAATTAGCTACCTGTTCAGTTCATCAGTCCTGAGGTGATATTAATTATGCCATTATCTGCAGAACGGATACCTATATGACCATATGCAATTTATTTTCTCTGCAGAGATTACAAAACTGCACTGAACCTCAAATATTGGCATGATTCTCATCTCCGCCTCGTCCCCCTTTTCCAATGTCTAACAAAAATGAAAAATCACAAAAAATGGTTTGTCTTTTTTAAATTCTGCCTCGTGCGTTCAAACTAATTGCGTGTAATGAAGCAATTTGCCAGCGGCTGACTGGATTCAGTGGTTGAGGTTTGGTCTCTATGACAACCAGCTGTCTGTAATTAGTAAATCAAGATTTTGGGCCGTCAGAGTGGCTCCAGAACAAGTCAAGAGTGGCTAAGTGTCAACCGCCCTTGTGCTGCCTTGAAGTCCATGTCGACGTGGCTGCCGCGATGGGTGTCGCCCTGGTGTTTCTTCTCAGGTATGTTAAAACGTATGAATGTATCCTGTGGTTAAAACCAAACCATCATGGCTGCTCAGTGCTGTTTTGTCTTTCTGCAGCGCTGTTGTGCTTCCCTCTGTGTCAGCTGGAGGTGTTTATTGTGCTAAAACAGCCAGAGGTATGTGGTGCGCTTAATGACTGATGTTCCGACTTGCACAATGAATACAATTTTTTTTTTTTTTTAATGCTTCTGCATGTTGTTCTGTTGTAGCCCGTGCAGCTGCCCTGGGTTTGTATTACCCCGGCGTCTACGCACCAGCTCCGCCTGGGACGCGTCCCAGCAGCAGGCTGCTTGGACCTCAACCCTACCAGGACGGTCGTCCTTTGTGGAAAGAAACTGGACCCGACGCGGCTTCTCACGCAAACCGGCAACCCGACGTAAGATTCCCAGATGGCCGACCGCGTGAACCAACGCACCCCTGGAGTTGGCGCGGCGCTTCCCGTCCGGCTCAGCGTGACCACGCCGCCGGCCGAGCGCTCCCCAGAGGGCGCTCCGTCATCTACCGCCAGCCCTATTCTGAGGAGGTCAAGCGCGTTGTCCCTCCGACGGCGGCTGGAGCCCCGGGCCGGCCTGACCTTGTGGATTGGCGTCCCCAAGGTCGCAGCCGGCCGCCCTCGCCTGTCTACGATGGGCGCGACCACGCGGTTGACGAGTCTGTCCCAAATGGACGTGACGTGTCTGTGAGGGGGCTCCCGCTGCCCCGAAGCGGGGGTCGTGGCGCTTACCCAAGCTCTATTCCTGGACGCGGCCTGGCGAGAGATGCCCCTGTCCTCCGCTCATCCGGCTCCGCCGCCAGGGCGCCGTCCGGCCCAGATCCCGGACCAGCCGGGATTGGCCTGTCTGGCAGTCTTGCGCGTCCCCTGCGCAGACGCCTCCACGTCGAACAGCCTTTTGCAAGGTGACCCTGTTCAAGGACGTCGGGCGGAACGCAGCATCGGGTCCAGTTGGAATGAGTCGGGGAGCGTGACGCTTTGCCGTCGTCTTCCTGTGAGGATCTGTTGAAGATGGCAGGCGAGCATTTTTTGACTGATGAGAAATGTGTTTGTCAGGTGTTCTCTAACTGTTTTTTTGTTTATTGAACAATGCTCATCGTGTGTGTGTGTGTCTATATGCTTGTGCATTGTCCCTTACTTGAATGTAACACTAAAACTAGATGCTTTCTTGAATACACGTTGTATTTTGCCTCTTTCTGCTCCCCCATCAGAGATGTGTTACCACAGTGCCATCTGTTGGTTCTGAGGTGAAGTTCTTCCTTCGGCTCACATTGTTTGAGCACAGAAGCTCGACAAACGCCCTCATCTCTTTACGCTCTTCATTTTGCCCAATGTCCAAATAAAGTCTTTCAGTCATCAGTGGTGCCGACCTTTCATGTGGAGATGTACTGCTTTAGAACTCGTGGAAATGTCTCAATAAATTATTCAGTATTTATCTAGACACTCTTTCACCAAACCAGATTTAGTGAAGAAAACCTTGTTATGTCAACCTGCTTTTATTGCTCGCTGAAAGACATTTAAGAGTGTAAGATTATGCAGTGATTCACCCATAAATCAATCAGGACCCTGACTGTGAGTGTTATAAACACTCATCCAGCTCGCGTGTAAGGAAATGAACAAAGTAAATCAACCGACACGTAATGGGGAGCAGCGGTGACGAGGCCGTACGTCGTACAGAAAGAACGGGAATCCCACCCGGTGGCTGCCAGATGTATTCCGAACCCAAACGATCAATAATGATCTCTGGTCGCTCAAGCTGCGTTTCCTGACGCCCTGCAGCCGATGACTCAATGACCCCTTGCGTGGTTTGAGGATGGACGGAGGAAGTCGTGCGTGTAGTTGCATTACGTGTCACGTAGCAGCCGAGCTGCACTCTTTCTACAGCAGCTCGACGGGTTCACGTCCCGACAGGAGGCAGGATGGAAGCTTCATTCGCATCAAGGGTCAAATGAGTCTCGCATCTCTTCAAATCAGAATCTCTCGCTGGCAGTTTAGTTATCTGGTTTAACTTAGCTTGATTACAGATGGATGAGATGCTGGGTGACTCATGGAGAGCAGTTTAACTACGGGACAGAATTCTTTCAGATAAAAGTGGGACAGACACTTCAATGTTTGAATAAAACCAGGTGAACATCGGCGTGCACGTGGACAGAATAACATGTATACCTGTAGTATACAGTGGGGTTTCTATTTGGCTTTGTGTTTTTAGGTACTTTGTGATGCTTCAATTAAGCAATATGGTTCTAAGCTTCCTCTCATAATTTACCACAAACCACAATTATGTATAAAATGATGAAACACTAAGTAGTTTATTTCTGTTTTGAGAAAGAATTCAAAGCCCAAAAGAACCCTCACTACTTGCTCTGAGATTTGGAACGCTGCTTTTGTCCCTTTTTTAAACATCAATAGTCATATTTTAACAATCTTTTGATGCCATAATATTTCTGGCAGTCCCGCTTGGATCACGGCCATCTTTGATCTCGGCCTTTTTTTATTTTTAGATTCAACATCACATCTGTGAGAGTTCCCTCTAAAGTCGGTGTCTCCAGCAGCATATTTCAACTTGACACACACACACGCACACACACACACACACAGACAGACTGGCAAGATGAGAACAAACCTCTACCTAATAAACCTTTTATTTTTCATAGTGTCAGTGTAAATCCGTCAGCTTGACATAATTCAAGAGTGCAAATATGTGCCCGGCGTGACACACACGAGCCTCTTTCAAAGCAACACGCCCAGAAAGTGGTGTTTAATGGGGCCGCGTGTTTATTGTGCGTGGGGCTTGGTGTTGTGTGTTTCCTGCTGGTGCTCCTCTCCTCGCTGTGAGACCACCGTATCCTGCCAGTGCAGCTGACCGGTGGTAAGAGGGAAATCAATAGTCAATTCCATTTTGCAGCCAGCGTGTGACGGGTACCAGATAGGAGTGGATTGGGTCCGTGTTGGGAGCACGAGTGTGAGTCGGTGCCTGACTCCCCCCTTGTACCCCCCCCCGCCCCCTCCCCCCCCCTCCTCTCTCTCTCTCTTTCGCTCGTCCAAGTCAAACCACTCGGGTGGACTCCATCTTATATAATGAGACATATTTAAATAATTAGGTAATATTTATGTCAGTTAAACGCATGTGTTGGGACACTTTACCCAGCAGATATGTGATTATAGATTATTAATGAAACACTACATTTTATAACAACACCTTGCAAAAACATTGATTGTGAGGAAGGTTTTATTTAATTTATTTAATTTTAAAAGGATATTATTATATTATGTAATATATTTATCTTGAGCTCAAAACCTTACTCTTAAACCTCGGGTGCAGTGTAGTGATCGTGACTTGATAATGGAGCGGGGAATTATAATAATAAGCCACAAGCTTAAATATTTTTAGATTTTAATACAAGCTTCCATGAGTGGCAGAGGTTGTGATTAAGGCCGTTTAGACTGCCCTAAACTCCTGTGATTCTCTGCACAATAGCGGGTTCATTCGGTGGGGGGGATATTCCCAGCGGTGACTAATTTGGGGTTAGTTACATCTCTAACGTGAACAAGGTTCTAAAGAGGAGACCGAGTTCCATTAAGTACAGCTCAAGAACCGTAATCAAGGCTCGGCTTGCAGGCCCTCAGCTAATTTTACTGCTCACTGAAACGTAGCATGTAATACCCAGTAGATGGAGAGCGCTTTGATCATTACTGCCGATTAGGAAGGAAAGATCAAGCAAAATATGTCAACACGTGAAAACCAGCTAATGTATTTTTAATTAGTGCGGGCTTTTCTTTTCCTCCTGTTGATTCCTGTTCACAAAGCCGCCGCCGCCGCCGTGTGCGTTTTAATTCGTCCTGCAGCGCCTCTTGATTAACAGTTAGCTTCCATTATGCTTTTGAGAGCGCCCGAGTGACCGAGCGGGGATGCAGCCGTGAGATTACAAGTCGAGTGGCTAAGCTCGCCTCCTCGCCTCGCGCACCACTTTAAATGAGGTCTCAGCGAATCATTTTACAATTTAATAAGCTAATAAACCTGATATGGCGAGTGGTTTGAAGTGCCCTTGGGGGGGGGGGAGTCGAGGCGCAGTTTACAATTCCATTTAAGAAGCTTGTTATATTACCACGCTGACAAAGGCCTGGACGGGCTCGCAGATCGGGAGTCGACTGCGTCTTGATTTGCCACGTGGAAGGTCACGCTGGACGCGGAGGGGCCGCGTGGCCCCCCCCCCGAGGAACATCGCGGGGCGTCAGATCGAAAAAAAAGAGCGTGAACTAAAGTAAAGTTATGTAAAGTAAAATAAAGTAAAGTGTAAATACCTCCGTGGTCTCACGGCCTGACACGGCGCACATTGACCAATGAGTAAAACAGTATCACTTAAAGACACAAACAACAAGCGATTTGTCCCAGATTAGATTCATGTTGGTTTGTACTTTTAATTTTTTTGTTTCAGTTTTGTCTCTAAGCCTCTTTGTGTATTGATGTGTGTAAAAACACGCATGTTGCAGTCCAACAGTTCCTAGATTTTAAATCTCAACGGGGAAATCCTGAAAAATGAAGGATTAACAAAACAAGACCAATCATTTCCCCCCAAGAAGGCCCGAGCTTTACACGCCCACATAGCCCCCCTCCCTCCGCCCCCCTCGTCAGTCATGTGTCTCTTCCAGGAAAATAGTGAAGTTCCACAAATGCAAACCAAGATCGTTGCTGCTGCTGCTGCACACGCAGGTCCTCCGGTCCCAGCGGCTTTGAGCCGCGTCGTTTGTGGCGACCAACCGGGCGTCCGTCTGCCTCCGTGTGGTGAGTGGCTCCATCATCACGTCGAGCGGTTCGCCCCCCCCTCGTTTTGATACTTCTGATTCCGATTTGCGACTGATATCTTTCTGTGCTTTGCCTGCTCTGCCTTGTACCATCTTTTAGTTCTTTATTTTTAAGATGAATCAATGCCTTTAAAGGTGCAATACGCTCAGCATGTCAAAGCCATACAAACGTTTCCCAATCACTATTTTGTGTGTTTTATAATGGTAACATGTTCTCATGATGGCAACATCGTTGGAATGGCAGCATGTTAAAAAGAGAGAAAACATTTATGTTCTGGTCATTCCATGATTCCAAAGAGGATGTGAAAGAGACGACATTCCTCCTTTTCAGCTGCTCGGCCTTTACGTTCCGCTGACACAACGAAGCTCAGCCAGTCTCCACGCGGAGGAAGTGTTCTATGAAAAATAGGAGTTCAAACACCTAGTTTAAACTCCCTTGTTTAAAGCACAATACTTAGTGTGAGAAGAATCCCCAAAAAGAGGAAATGGTTGCGGCTTGGTTATTGCACATGTGTCGAGGATATTGCCAAATCCCGATAGTGGGCGTTTTTGTAACCCTTCAACAGCAACGGGAAAGGAAACGTAGCAACATGTACCGCTACACGCAGTGGCATGAGTCACTGACACACGCTAACTAATCCAGATGCCGGTTCCATTTATACATTGGGAATAAACTGTCTACAATGAATCTACGTCTCTTCTCTCAAAGGCCTTTTTGTCCGAGCCACAAATATCGATTAGTAGCAAGCAGACGTTCTAAAGAGGAAACGGAGGAGTTCCATTTTTCTCACATTGCTTCAACATGGACTTCTACAAATGGTGTGTTATTTTTGAGTGATAGTTACTTTTTAGAGGCACACCTTATTGTAAGTGACCAGTCTAAATGTTTCTGCTCAAATGTAAGAGAGTCCATTTGTGACCTGAATTGCTTTTAATGAGAAACAAACACATCATTTTAAATATTTTCTCTTCAAAGTGTAATTTGAGTTCAACTCAGCGTGTTTTCTTCCTTCATAAATCATTTTAACTTAAATTAAGATTCTCATCTCTTTCTTCTATTTTAAATATATTGTGAAATTGGTTGTGTAAAAAACGTGTGTCTGTATGTTCGCGCGCCATAAACCACATGCGTAGAACATTACAGGTGAAGCCTGTAAAACACCACTTAAAAACCACTAGATGTTACTGTTTCCCTTCTTTTGTGTTTTAAACATTTTGTCAGCTTTCTGTCTGCTGTCAACCAGCTAACTGAAATAAACCGACTGACTTAACAGTTTCCACGTCATTCCGGATGAATAAAATCGTCTTTCCTCCCACACAGACGCAGAAAGGCTCTGAAGTTCTGTCTGTGCCTCGTTGCCTCGTACGCCGGCTGCCAGAGTTCCGTTGAGTTCTAATGTTTTGAGGTTGTGTAATGGTGAGTGTTTCAGAAAACCCTTCTTCAGTTCCACCTCTTAACACCTGCGCTTTTAATCCGAGGTCCCAGCTGATCCTCGGAATTAAGAACCAGGCTCTTGATTTTCCATCGGAGTTCAATGTGCTGCACAACTGCTCCCACCTGCTTAGTTTACGGGCTCTTCACTTCTGTTCATCATACACGACAGATCAGGCTTTAAGCCACATTAATTTCCTTTTGTAGCAGCTTGAATGTCACTGGTGTGATCATTTTACGCAGATGCGAAGTTAAATGTCGTTTTTGATGCGTCTTGGATCATGACACTGTTTATTTTGAATGATTATGCGCTGTGGGGATCGCTCACTTTCGCGTCGCGTCATCGCCGCCACTGCCTCCCGCCCACAATGCACCGGGTCGGGCCGGAGCTGCCATCCGAACATTGGGTTGAAAGGGGCGCCAGAGTTCGTCATATGTGAATAATGCGTTTCGATTTGGCTGCCCGACAGGTTTTGTCGCGATGAAATCCACACCGGCGTGGGTGGCTGTCGTCGTCCTGCTGCCGGCGCTCGTGAACGGAGCGAGGAACGGTGAGCGTTCGCCCTTTCGAAACAGAACCGTCTTTCCATCCTGCCCCCCGTGGATTCTTCCACGCTAAATATAAAGCTGCTCATTCACGGTGAAGAGCGTCGTCGAAGTTGCCCGTCTGAACAGTTTCTCCCTCTCGTCGCCAGAGGTTGACGCGCAGCCGTGCGCCACGGTCCTGGCGTCCGGGTCGGTGGTCCCTCTGGGGTCGCCCGTCACGGCCACCTGCGTCATCCGAGACGACTGCCCTCTGGTCGCCGGACAGGCCGTTCGCATAGAGTGGCGCCTGGGCGACCGCATCCTCCCCGGCGGCCCCGCGGACGCCGAGGGCGGCCGGGTCTCGCGGGTCGTCATACCGAGCTTCAATCTCACGAGGGAGTTCCTCACCTGCTGCGTCCAGGCCTCGCCGGCTCAAGTGGTGGCCGGCGTGGAGATCAGAGCTGGATGTGAGGCACATTTAAACCGCAAGACTCTTAACCGTCAACACCTAAAAGAAAAGGACTTTGAAATGAGGAACAGAATCAACGTATCGAGTATAACTTGTATCTGTCCATGATGTAACCTTCTGACCTTCTTCGCCTTACCCATAGATCCACCAGAAGCCCCACAAAACCTCAGCTGTACGACCAACCTCACCAACCCGAACACACTGACCTGCAGCTGGGACGCTGGGCAGCAGGAGACCCACCTGCACACAAAGTATACCCTCCACACGCAGATATGGTAATCTTCTTCCCAAGGAGGCAACACCTTTTATGTCAGGAATCTCTGGTGTGGTTTAAAGACTGCGATTTCCTTTCAGGGATTCCAACGAGAACAACACCTACGAGCCGCCGCCGGGAGTCCACCGGTACAGCATCCCTCGCTCGGGATTCGTCCTCTTCTCAGACATCCGGATATCTGTGAAGGCCGTGAACGAACTTGGAGAAGCGACGTCGGCGCCTCTCGTTTTAGAGCCTGTCAGTGCAGGTGAGAATGATAAGAGGTCGACGAAATGCATCTGAAAAGCATGTGATTGTTTCTTTAGTTGGGGAGATGAAGTGAATCTGACATGCATAGCTCTTCAAACGAAGGAATACATCTAACGCGGCGTTGACTGTTTTGCCGCAGCCAAGTTTGACCCACCGACGATTGTGAGGATTCAAACTAAAAAGTACGGCTGCCTGCAGCTGAGCTGGAACTTGTCTCAGCAGCAGGCCTGGATGGTCAACTGGCGCCTGGACCTGGAGGTCCGACGCAGGTTGGCCGTCCAGGCCGTCAGCGGCCAATGGAGCGAACAACCAGTGAGTAAAACGCAGTGTCAAGATCTTGTGTATGAGCCTGTATGTGTATATCGATATATGGATTCATACATAGCATGTCTTTGTGAAGCACCTTGGTGCAGAACTTGTTTGATTTTAAAGAGCTACACCAATAAAATGCACTTAAACCCACAACAGATCCTGCTGAACGGGGTCAAAACAACCAGATCCGTGGACCTGTGCCGTCTCCTCCATGGGACGCGGTATCTCGCCCAGATCCGCGTCCGATACCAGGGGGGCCCCTGGAGTGAATGGAGCAGCAGCCGGTCGGGGGTCACCTTGGAGAACGGTGCGGCTCGGATCAATTCAGAGTGACGCAATCACTCTTAACATTTCCAATCTATTACCTTTTCTTCCATTGCCTGCTCTTTTCAATATATGCTAATGCCCATGTCTACATCTCCCACTGCTTTGCTCCATGGCGCCGCCTGAATTGATGTATTGAGCTTTGCCGTGCACTCAGGCAGCGAGTCCAGAGCCACCTGTCTAATGGAGGAAAGTTTTAAAGACTGAGAAGGGAAGCGCCGGCTTCTGAAGGACTCGTCTGACATCCATCTCTTTCTTTTCAGCTCCCTCTGGACGCCTCGACTGGTGGATGAAGGCGTCATGGGAGGGCATGGAGAAACAACTTAACATACTCTTGTTTTGGAAGGTACACGCAGCACATGCTGCCCGCCACCTGCCGAGGGCCCGTGTCGGTCCTGTCTTTCGGAGTGTGCGCGGTCTGCCTTTAAAACTGCCCTCTCACTTTGTTCTTTCAGCCATCAAAACAATTCCGCGCCAACGGCCAAAATGTGTCGTACGCCGTCTCGGGAAAAAAGCTGGCAGGCGCGAATGGAAAAGTTTGCTCCACGACGGGAAATTACTGTTCTTTTCACCTCCCCAGAGGGGTAAAGAAAGTGTACCTGAGCGCTGTTAATGCAGTGGGGAAATCCTCCCCCACAGAAGTGCGGATTCACCCACCTCGAGGTGAGACTGACCCTCCTCAGACCGGCTTGAACTCGTTCAGAAACCGGCGGAAATACGACACACTCGAATACGTTTTCCCCTCAATGTGTGCGATGTGTTTTGTATCCGTAGCTCGTGAAGTGGTGTCAAACGTCACCGTCGTTCCTCAGGATGACAGATCCCTCTTGGTCCGGTGGAGGAGCCAGCTGTCTTCCGGTCTCACTGGTTTCGTGGTGGAATGGAGACCTTTGCTGCAAACGGACCTCTCGTTCACCCAATTTGAATTCACTGCTCAAAACCAGACACAGCTCCTTATAGCAGGTACGTTTTCAGGTACTAGGATCTACGTCCCTGCTATTTTACTCAACCAATAAATCTAGTGTTTATCCTTCGCCCCGAGAATCCACTCCCGATCAACGTCTTTTCTTTTTTCCTGTGCGAAAACCTGCCGGCGCACACTGTCAGGGGCTTACGGGCACTGATGCTCTGTAACCTCTTCACTCTCATCAACAGGCAGCTTTGAGCCCTACAAGCCCTACGGGATCTCTGTGTATCCCAGGTTTAAGGACGGGATAGGCTTTCCTCAGACTGTTGATGCCTACTCGAGAGAAAAGGGTAAGTCACCAAATACACAAAGAGGATCACACGGAGAGCAGGCGGCGGGGGGGGGGGGGGGGGGGGGGGTGCAGTGAGAAAAGGGGTTGCGATATTATTTAACAGGTCTATTTGAAACAGTTGACGCGTGATGAAATAATGCCCTCTTGTGGCTGTGAATTCATGTATTTTAATGTAGAATGGCTAAAATAAAGAGCATAATTACTCATGAAAGCTTTAATAATCACTCACAATATTTTTCCTTTTAAGCGCCATCCATGGCTCCAAAAATACAAATTAAAAAGGTCTGGAAGTCCCATGTGGAGCTCGCCTGGGACGAAATACCATTAGAACAAAGGAACGGATGCATCCAGAACTACACGGTCTTCTACTGTGATCCGAAGGGAAACTTTCAGGGTGGGTTAAAGGCCCTAATTTAACTTTTCGTAAAACAGTTTCTTATACATTTGCCTGTGGCTTGTTTCAGTCGTGAACGCTGACCCGAAAGAAAGGCGAGTGGTGCTGAACGGCCTCAACTCCGAGTCTCTGTACGAGGCTTTCCTGATGGTTAGCACGCTCGGTGGGAGCCTCAACGGCTCCACGGTTCATTTTAAAGTGGAGAACTTTGGTTTGTAACTTTCCAGAGAGATGTTATGATCACGTATATTCCCAGAGCAGATATGTTATCCAGAATGTCTATTTCTCGCCTCTCAGATGCGGCTGCTGTTGTGGAAATTGTAACCGTGTCCCTCGTTGGACTGTTACTGGCGGGCATCATCGTAGTCGGGACTTGTTTCTCCAACAAAAGGTGAGATCATTTCCCCGCTGACTTAAACTGAGGAGCCGTCGTGTCATTTATTCTCATAAACATTCCTCTTTCTTTTGCAGGCTTAAGGGGCATTTTTGGCCAGCTGTTCCAGATCCGGCTAACAGCAGCATCAAGAGATGGACATCGGAATCAACACAGGTGCAGACAATTCACTTTTTTATAATATTATCCCACTTCAAAAAGTTCAATTTAACTTTGAATGGAATTTCTCAAATGACGAACCCAAGTCATGACCAACTCTGCAGCTTTCAGTTATTTCTTTTGATTTTACAAGCCGCACTTTTTGTCCTCAACCATGAAGATGATTTTTGGCAAAAAGGCTACAATCAGGGATCAGATTGACAAACTAAGGTAGCAAATAGCTGGTGTATATTGGGTCATTTAGCAGCCGTTAGAGATGGAAACAGAGCTAAAAGAGAAGAGATATGGGGCCAAAAACACATCACCAAATGTATTTCAATATTGCTCAGTGTGTGTGCAGCCTTTTGCCAACACGTTCACCAAAGCTTTTGTATTTCAGGGCATTATTTAAAGCTTGTCCCAAAGTACTTGTGCATGCAAGAAATGCACTCATTTTGCAGTAACATAAACCTTTGTATGTTGGAGTGTCAACCTGTTTTCCTTTCACAGGATTCCAATGTTGCCTTTGACAACGAGGAGCCCAATCCAATGTACCTGTCCCACCTGAGCTTCCTGGACGTCCCTGTGAAACCACGTAAGAAGGACGATGACCCGTGGTTGAGCAATGCAGAGGACACCAGTGACCTGGGCGAGTCCATCTGCGGCTCACCGCTCCCCACCGACTACTCGGGCTCCAACAGCGACTCAGTTCCTTACGCTACGGTGGTGTTCTCGGGTCCGCGCAACAGCACCACTCCCGAAGACCCTCACGTGTACCTGCGGTCTGAGTCCACGCAGCCCCTCCTGGAGACTGAGGAGTCCTTCAGTCCAAAGTGCTACCATAATATGGCAACTGCCGGGATGCCCAGTGAGCAATGCTTTTTTGGACCTTCCCCTGATTGTGTACCTGAAACAGGGGAAGGTGGAGGCGAACTGTGGGATGACTTTCCTTTTCTTCGAGCATTAGCCTTGAATGATACTGAAAATGACTAAACATACCTTGCTGATTGTAAGCTGCTTTGCGAGAAGTTCTGAGTTTGTAATGCGCCGAAAAGTTGATTCACCAGAGAACATAGTTGTAAATGTGTGGAAGATTTAATGCTAAAATCACTTTTATATTTAATGATTATGATGTCCACGCTTTATTCATGACACGCTTTGTAGATACGTCACCTCCTTAACAAATAAACTGTTTTACTGAAGGAACATTTGATATTGTTGATTTATTTTGGAGTTGGTATCCCAACATTGTCCAAATTACTTTTACAAGTCGAGTGCGCAGTTCTTTACTGCATTTATTTTGAGTTATAAATTCTAAATGTTTTTCTATCAAAATTTGTTTTACTGGAAGTGAGCTGTAAATTTGAAACTTTTATTTGTAAAATTGGACTCCTAATCAGTGTGAAAGATTTCAGTGAAACACCAAATGCTTTATACGTCCATTTAAAAACATAAAAGGAGGAATGAACATACAACTAAAAACTGTTAAAGCTCCTCCTTCCTTTTTCTTCAAATTATATTGGATTATTAATGCAACTCATAAAACTGCCATTTGATATTTCCTTATTATATATCGATTGTATAAAATGTCAAATGTGACTATTTGATAACTATGAGTCATAATCAATAAGTCATTTTTATTATATATTTGTACTACTGTACTATATTTAACTTGTACTAAAAATCCCACTGAACCTGAAGCATCGAAGTCCCCAGCGAATTAAGACAAGCTTCCCCAAATACAGTGAATAGCATTTAGTTACAAAAGCTTTGTAACGGATAAAGGAAAGCAGAAGTGGAACAAGGGGACGCCCAGTCGCGGTTAACTTCGGCTTTTAATGACCGAAACCGAAATAAATCTCTTCCTCTCCAATCGATGTGTTCTGGGATCGTTGGCTTCGCCTCGGGAGACTCATCCGCGATCCTCGCTCGGCTAGTCTGGTCTACTCAAAATGGCGGACCACGTCTAGGGGTCGACTTTGATAAACTGTCACATTTTCACAGTTCTCCGGGGTTGTATTCCTCGCCTCGCCGCCATGTTGACGTGCGTGGCCCTGCGAGCTGCTCTGAGGTCCTCGGTCGGTGTTTTGGGGGAAAGTGTCGCTCTCTCGGCGAAAAGCTGGACGCGCGGCCCGGCTTTCCTTTCGGCACCGAGAGTCGGCTGTGGTGAGTCCACGAGCACCGCGTCACATGGGCGTTGAAAACATCCGGCCGATGCGTCACACCTGGTCGTTACCTGTCGGGTCACTCACTCCGCACCGTGCACGAGGAGCATCGCGTGGTGCCTGACGTCAATGTCCCCCATCGGGGGACGCAGCGGTTCCATAATCTGTATTACATTTTTGTTTTCAACGTGCTTCAGTATCAACAAGCACATTCCACGATAGATAGAGTAAACAGCTGAACGGAAACATGTGTGATATTTAATCTACCTTCATTATATCTAGCATCTATTGGTATTATCTAACGTTACCCATCAATAAAGTCAAGGTTCCTACTCAAACAATATTGGAAAAAAATGTTGAAAGAAAGAGCTCGCATAAACAATCTGTAGACCAAATAGCTTGAGTTGGTTTAATAAACAACAACAACGTGTTGGACAGGACAAAACAACGTGTGCACAAAAGAGTTATCAAAAGTCCCATTTTCTCTGGTTGGTAATAACTATTTACACAAGTGAATGTCTTTATATATTATATAATATTTGACCTACTGGTTTAGTCTCATACGGACTGCGTTGAGAGAAACAAACCGACGGTTGGGAAGGATGTGGCAATACGCTCGTCGCCCAACATGGACCCCCGTGTGCAGCCCAACGTCCGGATTGCTTGTGGTTGACTATGCAGCTGCAGACTTGGCAGAACTTAAGTCCATTGCAATATCATCAGAAATAGAAAGAGGCGTCTCTCACACGTTTTGTTTTCTTGCAACATTAAACAGCATGAACACTTCCATTGTTGTAATGAACAGAACACACTCAGAGGCCAGCTGCTGTGCACGCGACCCGTTTTCTGCAGGCACGAAGCGCCAGGGTTTTTCCGAAATTGCTTCAGATTGTGTTCGGATGTATTGAAAGACACTTTCCTCTCTCCATCAGATATGTGCGACGTGGCTCTTCAAGTCGCTCATCTTAAACTAGATCAATTGCTTCATCTCCTTTCCTATCAGCACCATCAGATAAGTGTTGCATGCAGCAATGCAAACGACACGCTATCCTTGATAGTCCTGTTGCAAAAGCCACGTGTGTCGCACTTGACTGGTGGTAAATTTATTTGCTTCGGTTTCTTGTCTATTATACAACCAGAGAAAACACTCATGGCAAATAGGTGGAAGTCAGCAAGTCAGTAGATTATATTAGCATGAAAAAGACGTTGAGGGAGGCTACCTTTTTGTTATTCTTAAATATAAAGCAGTGTTGTTAAATTTGAAGGCCTGTCATGTTACTACGTTCCACTGATCACACTCCGTCTGGCTTTCCCGCTCCTCGTTACGTGTCTCTGTGCACCAGAGAGTTCGTGTGAAGTATTGAAACTACGTCACAGGCATATTTATTCAGTCCTGTAGTGATGTGAGCAGTATCTGAGGTTTCCGTCTAGTTCAAGGTCTGCTCGTCAGGCCGCCGCTGAGCCGGTTTGTTTTGTGTCTGGCAAAGCCCACGACTTCCCTTTTCTCCTTCCACACCAGATCGTACTGCAAGTTTTGTCGTAGCGGTTGTTCGGTTAGTGACTGTTGAAGCTTTTCTGGGCTCAAACAAGCTCTGATTCTCCGCCTGACTTTTTAAAACTTTAGCCTGTTTACATCCTTCCCTCCATCAATCTCTCTCCCTCTCTCTCTCTCTCTCTCCCTCTCCCTCTCCTCAGTTGCCGGCAGCTTTGCTGTTCCACCACCAGTGAGACATTATGCTCGGGTTGCAAAGAAAAAGAAGACGGGTATGAGGCTGCGTTGTCATGGCACCCTGTCTTTGGCGTTTTGAAATGCTTTGCTTTTCATCCAAGCGTTTGGTCTCTCTCAGGCCCCGTGAGCCAGCTGGCCGACCTTCCTTCAACCATGCTGAAGATGGATTACGCAGCTGTTCCCCTCGCTCAAGCGTAAACACACGTTCATACCCGAAATATTACGTGCATTCACAATGAAACTATAAATACGCATTCATGCGTTACATTATTCTAACCCTTCTAACACGATAGGACCGACGATGTCGTCAAGAGACTTCTGTCCTTGGAGTTGGCGAGTCACGTGAGTTCTACATTCATCAAGTTTGACGTTTTGAAGTCACTTGGAACGCGTTCCCTCATGAACATGTCGGCTGCGTTCAGGCTGAGAAGCTGCAGCTGAAGAAGGAGCAGTACGTTGCTAAAGTGCAGAGGGACGAGAACGACCGCAGCTCAGTGGAAGTCAAGGGTGAGTCGCGCTCCCTCACCCCCCGTAGATAAAAGGGAAATGTACCGTGATTGAACTGGTGTGTCGATTCAGTTTCCCTTTTTCATTCCAGTGGCTGTTTTGACCGCCAGAATCCGAAACTATCAGGAGCACTTGCTGAAACACCACAAGGTGAGCGAAAGGGCCGCCTGCGTCATCACACTGACAGAAGGGCTCCAGGGTTTGGATAAAGATCTCCGGTGACGTACGGCGTTGTGCGTTACTTTTCTCTCACCACTAGACCGCCCCGCTATGAATACGTCTTTTCACATTTCGCCTTCCTCTGGTTTGAGACGTACGTGTGCCACAGGAAATCCTGTCTACTCCCCCACATAGAGAAAAAAAAAAAAAGAACATGCCTAGTATGGTGGTAAATTTCCATGTTACATCACACGTCAAAAATGGTCACAGATAGTACAGGTTTGTACTAGATTCCCCTCATGAGCTGATGAGCGTTTAAACTGAGCCTCTATTGGTGCTCCCGTTACTTCCCATGTTAACGGGTTGGAATGGCTTCATTCCAGGACAAAGCCAACAAGAGGCGGATGCTGATGGCCGTTGACCGACGGAAAAAGCTTCTGAAGAACCTCCGGTTGGTGAACTATGAAGCCTTTGAGAAAGTGTGCGAGCAGCTGGGCATCACCTACACTTTCCCTCCCGAGTACTACAGGCGGGCCACACGCCGCTGGGTGGCCAAGAAGGCCTTCTGCATCAAGGTAGCAGACTGATGGCCCCTCAATTCTCTTCACAATTTCATTCGCGGTGTATAACGATGGTATCAAATGATTGACATCTGGAGATCTTCAACACTGCACTAGTTTCTTCCCACAGTTGTGAGTGAGAGCTTTACTGCAGCGTCCTGTAGGCCGCCGTGTTCACCCATCTGACTGGGTTGCGGGTGGAAGGTGTTATTTCTGTGTCTCCACTGACACTTTGGTCACTGGTGTCTCTTCTCAGGTCTTTCAGGAAGTGCAGAAGCAGAAAGCCGAGCAGAGGCTGATGAAGCAAGGTTTAGTCTCCAAAGACACCGAGGCGGACAAGATGAAAGCCGTTTAGACCCAATAACGGACCATTTAGTGTAAATTACAACAATTTATGCCATGTTTGTGTTAACATCTTTGAATTTAGCACCTCCAGATATGTGGCCCGGGGACGGATAGATCCCCTTTCTATGTGTTATGTTATTTCTTCTGCTTTTTTCGTGTGCTTTCACATTGATGTTGGAAATAAAATATTCAAACAAGTTTTTACTCTGTCAATGTTTTTTGTGATGAATTTAATAAATGTTAAAATCAGTTCCAGGTGGTTTCAATTAGATTCGTCTTCACAATACAAAGTATTAAGGGAAGTAGGGAACTCAAATAAGCGATCATTAGTGAAAAGGGGTTTGATTTTATTTTCCACTCATGTTACACAACGGCTGAACTACTGCGTTGTCATTTATCAAACGTATAAATCCCTAAGACATATAGCCATCTCACATTTGAAATGAATAGAGTGATACTTGTCCCTGTTTCGGTTTGTCCTTTTTCTGTGAATCCATCGCGACACTTTATCTTGAAAAGCATCTGCTAACAATGCGAAATGATTCACCTTTTGTAGCCGTTCACACGGGAGTTAGAAACAATGTACCCGCACAATATAATCAATCCATTCCCCCATTAAGTAACTACAAAGTTATTATTATATATTGCAGGCTGCAACACAACTGAGTTTCTTAGATATCAGCATTATCACTTTGACTCCACACACATGGCTATATATAATATATATATATATATATGTGTGTGTGTGTGCATGTATACGTATATATAACATCAGGCGATGATGCGTTCGTGGTTTCTGTGTGATTGGGTGGCGTGATTCTGACGACAGAGACCTCACTGCTGATTTGACCTCCTAACAGATGCATGTTCCTGTCATCTGTAGCTGCCTGTGATTAAACCCAGAAAGAGCCTCGAGGCACAGCAGCGGTTCTGAGTCTGTCAGGGAATGAACGTAGATCTTTGTCATCCGTGGAAACAGCAGTTTGTCAGCCGAGTATTTCACAGCTTGGGTTCGTCACGGCTTCCTGTGCGGTGTGCAGCTTGTCGGCTTGAGAAAGAGGACTGCACACCGACAGACTCTTCTGGTAAGTGACACCTTTTACTCCTCTCGCAGTCGACTCACTGAACAATTCACTTTGGATTTAGTTAAACAGTTGCAAATGAACCATATTTATTTTATTATTATTCAAAAGTTCTGTGTCACTAATGTACTTATTCTTTAAGCACCAATACCCGCCGCTGTTACATGTTCTTATTAAATAAGACAGGAGCAGCTCTTTTTACATAAATACATTTTAATTTCAAGATTAGTAAGTATTTCCAGAAACTCAAATGCAAAAGCAAAATATGTTGTAAGCAACAAGAGGCAATGAGCTGTTACACACTGACTGGGTTAAGAGTTGATTTTTGATTAGGAACCTATGGAAATATTTATCAATCAATTAGGAATGAATTATTAAATCACAATAGCTCTCAGAAACCCCAAACGGTGACGTCTCACTCTGTTTGAAGGGATAAGTCCATCAAACAAGTATTTTATGCTTTGCAGGCTAATTGATGACCGATGGTTGCACTGTAGCGTATGAATAACACGCGGTCTGTGTCTTCTTATACTGGAAAGACTAAAATAACATGCACTTGTACCTACTTTTTTCAATGCAAACTCAAAACGTGATATTACCTCTCTGCTCTGGAGATAAATATAGCGTGTGAGGACAAGCTAACGTGGCACATGGAAAGATGGATTTATGTTGTTTCTTCAGCTGCTTTTTGCCCTGTTCATGTGCTCAACTCAACTTAATATGTTCCTACAGACTTTAAAATCAAGGAGCAGATCCAGTAATCCAAAAATGTCAAACCCAGCGGTCACCCATCAACCAGGTGCAAGCAGCTATGGGACAAACGTCCAAACAGGAGAGTGGAGCACGGGCCTGTGCTCCTGCTTCAGTGACCTGTTTGTCTGTGAGTACCATTCAAAAGGCAGACATCGGACATTCGTGTTCATTTTCAAGACAAACTCAGGCACCCTTTCATTGCTTTTGCTATTTCCATAACTCCTCTTTTGTGCAGGCGCCCTCGGATGCATCTGTCCATTTGCACTGACCTGCTACACGGCTAATAAGTATGGAGAAAACTGCTGCTTGGCTTGTTTGCCAGGAGGCACAGCGGCCTTGAGGACTCATATGAGACTGACCTACGGCATCCAAGTAAGTTGCTCATACAATTATCACAACTCTCCAGGACCTTTTGGGTGGTGCACCGAGTCTCTTGTTTGCAATACCTTGTGAAAGACAGAGATTTGAAGAACAGAGGAAATGGGTTGGGTGTGCACTGCAATTAAGAAAGTGCATTTCGTCCTTCCTTGTTTTGATGATGTTGCAATTTTTGAACCGCAGGGAACTATAACCAACGATGCCTTGATGACCTTTTGCTGCGGACTGTGCGAGGTGTGCAGGATGGCGCGAGAAATCCACATCAGGAATGGAGAAATGTAATCACGAGAAGACATAAAGCATTCTGGGAAATGCAGTATTTTCAGTTTGGTGAGGATGTTCAGCTATAATTTCTTTATTCTTTCTTGTAGCGGGCTTAGCGTTCATGCGCACTGCAAATGTGGGGAGGGCTGATGAACAATGAATTCAAGTTTATCGATTTTAAAATTTCATGTACAGCCTTACATGTATCCGTCTAAATGAATGAAAAAGGGCTAGTACTGATCTGCATTACTGTAAATAAACTGCATCACTCACAACGTAACTGCATTTGAGCCAGTGTGTGCAACATTGTCAATAAAAAAATGTTTTCTGATTTATTTTGGTGAATGTAAACCATTTCTTAAACCTGTCGTTTCCAAAATTTTCCAAAGCCAGAAACTTACAGGTAAAAGATTTCTGGTACATCACAACAACAGTGAAATCACGCAATAAATGCTTTTCTTTTGGTGCCTTAAAACAAAGGAACTTTTGCATGAAGCATGTTACCAAGGCAGGTCCAGCCATCACACTTACTAATCCTCAAATGTTAGCACATTTTACATTACTTTATGTGATTAACTACATATGTTTTTGCTCCTTATGGTTATTGTAAATTAATGAATTAATTGATTCATCTTGTCTTTTTGTACCGGTATTTACGAACTTCCTGGAACCTTTTGAGGCCCAGTAGAGTCACGTGACAGTCAGGTTGACGCGACTCTCTCTTTTTACGGCTTTAGCTGCAATTTGATTGACGTCTTGAATCACGACGCGCTGATTGGCTGCTGGCTTCGTGGCCTAGCAACCAGAAGAGGCTTAACCAAACAGTGGGAGCTAGCTCTAGAATTCAAGCTAGCGACGACCGCTAGCCGCCTAATTAAGTTTTCTGGAGAGTTTCAACCGTCCGGTTTCCATCATGTCCTCCCGAACGCTGCCCCTGCTGTTCATAAACCTCGGTGGAGAAATGCTGTACATCCTGGACCAACGGCTTCGAGCTCAGAACATCCCTCCGGACAAAGCTAAGAAAGGTTAGCTTAGTTTAGCAGCTAGCTTACCCTGAGAACAACACGAATGTCACAGGTGCAGTAAAACGTTAGTGTTGTTAATTTCACTCCGTGTGTCCTTCTGCTGGTTGGTGAATTATGGAATCAGGATTCATAGAAAGTCAACGTGAACCGTAGATATAATGCCAGGCCAAGAGTTAACACAAATGAGTCAGCTGCTTGTCTTGTATATGCAGATATTTGATGATTATTATCAGGGATCCGGACTTACAAGGAATTTGACTTGGCGGTTGGTGCATAACTTGTATCATAACTCTCATTAGACACCGGTTGCTGTTGCATGGGCCGCCCTTATGAGCCCTGAGAGAATTTACATTTATTGCTGACTCCCAATCTACATGAATGTTACAAAAAAGCTGTTGCAATGTTTAGAATTTTAGCACTCATTCATCTCCGAGCATCGTTACGGTTTTGAGTCATTTGTCATTGAGCGATGTGGTTTCATGACGTCATTTATTTATCTCTTTTTAAACCACAACGTTTTCACAATAGCTGGCTGGATAGACGATGACAGAAGGAGAGGTATTGCTTCAGCTTCAGCTTTAGAACAACCATGCACCGATGAATGCGTAGCTCTTTGCTCTGCTTTGGCTTAGACTGAAGCAACACGCTTAACCACAGCAAATGAAAGGTGTCTGAGGAGAGTTCGAACACAGACCTTTAACCTACCTGGCTATCGCCCTCCAACTGTACCAGGTAGAGTAAACGCTTGCCAAGCTGCTGCTTCTTTGGGGTTGTTGGGATAGGCTGAGGATGGAGTGTTTTTGGCCGATCTAGTATGCTGCCTTGCTTCTGAGCCTGCAGTGTGGAAAAGTCCATTAGCCTAACCTCGGTTAACTCTTTGTGGACTTTTTTTTTTGCTTTGGCTTGCCTGAATAGTTATGAATGACATCATCACCACCATGTTCAACAAAAAGTTCCTGGAAGAGCTTTTCAAGCCGCAGGAGCTTTACTCCAAAAAAGCCCTGCGCACTGTGTTCGACAGGCTCGCCCATGCCTCAATAATGAGACTCAATCAAGCCAGCATGGACAAGGTAAGTGTTAATGGCCAGATGTCCCCGCGCCAGATGTCCCCCCCCGTTGCACCATGCACATGTTAAAGCGTGCCTGGTTTCACTTCGGTACTTCTCAACGTGTTGATCACTTTCTCACAGCATGCCAGTGTTGTCGTCTAGAAAGCACACTTCATTTTAGAGTCCAGCATACTACAGATCTACATAAGACAAATCTACTTATCAATGAAGTATGATCATGTTTTGCATTGAGTACAAGAGTAATTCTGAAGCACAGAGCCATCCATATTTGACTGTACGTTGCCGTATGTGGCTCCCTCTGCTGCCAACGACACGGCAGCAGCCTTTCTTTTTATTTTCATGGCCATGTCAGTGAAGTCATGCAAGTGTGTCCCTCCGCGCAGCTCTACGACTTGATGACCATGGCTTTCAAGTACCAGGTGCTTCTCTGTCCTCGGCCCAAGGACATCCTTCTTGTGTCCTTCAACCACATGGATGCCATCAAAGACTTCGTGAAAGACACGCCCAGCATTCTCGGCCAGGTTGACGAGACGTACCGACAGCTCATAGAGGTATTCCACGTGTGACACTCGCCTCACATTTGATAAGGACAACAAAGCGTAGCAACATTACACATGACTTGCTGAGTTCTCTGATTGTTAAATGTTTCATGCTCTCATGAACATGACTGGTATTATTGTTAGTTAGGATTGGTATTACTGGTATCATGACTGACTTATTTGATCTAATTTCTTGATTTAATATTTTTGGGTGATATTCTGTGTTGTCTAAATTTCAAACGATTACATTGAGATACAGGGTGATGTTCCCATGTTCTAATTCTTTTCATGTTTGTGTTGTTAAATCAATTTTTAATCTATAGATGTATACAGCCTTGTCGAGTGGAGAATTCCAGCTGATCAGACAAACTCTCCTCATCTTCTTCCAAGACATGCATATAAGAGTAAGTCCAACTTGATCTCAAGTTTGAGAGTAAATAGAGAGTAAAAACGTACACTTATGTTGTCTTTTGTTTTCTTCTATGCCAGGTGTCTATTTTCCTCAAGGACAAAGTGCAGAACTCGAATGGGCGCTTTGTGCTTCCCACCAGTGGCCCTGTGCCTCATGGAACGCTAGTTCCCTGCTTGATAAGGTACCACTTGGTAACGCTGTTTTCCCTCCGACCCAAACACTCATTTATTCTAAACAACGATGGAGAGGACCGGCATCAAAGTGGATTGAATAGGAAAATGCACCTGTTGAACAAGAAATTACATTCTATTTTTTGCGTGGTATGTTCAGCTCTGATGAAATGGTTTAAACGAGACCGACATCAATGCTCATTTGTTTATTTGGGGTTTCTAATAGAACTTGTTCACACGCTTAAAATGAGCCATGCGGTTATAAGCTCCTCCTCCCGTCTCTTTAACACAGTTCCTGTGGATCCTTGAAATGCCCCAAGTTATTTTTTTAGAAATGTTTCCCCATAGCATTCTTGTAACAGCAAAAGACATGAAAATATCATTACTAAATTACTGAGTATCTTTTAGCAACATTTGATAACAGGAAACAAGCTCACATGCCGTCAGTGTGTTAAAGTATTCAACGCAACAGAAGCCCTGAAGGGTTCCTCACAAACGAACTACTTCCATCAGAGGAAAAAAAAACATTACAAAAATGCTGTTCATAGAAAATGTTGTGCATGTTAGTCCGTAGCATTTAGTGTTCTTGTATCTCGGGTCTCCAGGATGTTCAGCTGCAGTGGGGAAGAGGTGATGAGGCGGCAGTTCAGTAACGGAGGAAACTACACAGCGGCTCTCCGGGAGGGATCCTTCGAGATATTTGGAGACAGGGTCACCAAATTAGGCACGAACATGTAAGATGCAAAGTACGGAGACGATGTGCATGAACCTTGACTGCATGATACTAAATGAATACAGTGAGTAGAAGATGATTTTCTGTCATCCAGGTTGTGAGATATTTGGAAGCACTTAGTCAAAGGCCACTGAACTTAATGGTGTAGTCATGAGTCCTAGATATTTAAATATATGTGCTTTGGTGTCACATGATGTCATTAAATGACACCCGTGAACACCTTGAAGAGCTTGAAAGGCCTGAGACTTGATCAGTAGACCGATGATCGCTGGCATTTTGTTGCATTGAGGTTTTGATTCTCTGTTTTGTACCTTTTTTAATCCAGGTACAGTGTAAGCCGCCCAGTGGAAACCCACATGACGGGAACGTCTAAGAACTCTGCTCAGCACACTAAGGTGAAACCACTTCACCACCACCACAATAACACAAGTTCAATCTTTGACACCTTTTCGGACTTGATCAGGAGGTCAAGTGGCCCTGGTCCACAAATACACACTGCGGCACATTTATAAGTAGCAGGATCAATAGGTTCAGCCCCGAGACACTGACGTTGACAAGCCTGTGTGTACCAACAGGTCAACGTCGCTCCCAATCCTCTCGCAAAAGAGGAGCTGAACATGTTGGCCAAGTTGATGGGAGGGTTGGAAGTCCAGAAGCCAGGAAATGCAGACAACGGTTTCCGAGTCAACCTCTTCTCCACCGATGAGGAGGAAGAGTGAGTCTCCTTTTCTGTGTGCGCTCCAATCCCTGTGCTGTATGGCACTAGATCATATGGAACTGCTACTAAAACCGAATAGTTGTTTTTGATCAATCAAAGCTAACATTGTCACTTTTCTTTCTCAAATCGCAGAGAAGCATTAATATCAAGACCGGATGACCTTTTATATGGAGTCATAAACATCCAAGCGACAAAGGTAAAGCTTCGTTATCCGTCCTCACAACCTGTTCCCCTCAGCGTGAAATGATCGGACGAGTCTGAGCTCACTGTCCGCCTTCTGTCATCTGTGGGCAAGTGCAGACCACAAGACTCCTGTTGTCATGTAAGCACCAAGTGACCTCTGACGAGCTGGATTGATTGTAATGGGGGACTCTCTTGTTACATTGTGGGAAACAAACAAGGCGCTCACCTGAGATCCAGTCTCTCAAGGTCCTCATATCATATAGATTTTAGAGATACGCCTCTCCTTCCATCTCACTCTAGTCTTCAATGTGTCCCAACTAGTGCATCTTTGTTTTGGCTACGATGAAGTGATGTAGGAGCCATGTTGTAGTCTTTTACCCTTGATTGGGCCATTTGTTACTTATCTCAACTCCGTATTCAGAGATTTGAGGTTTTTCCAGTCCAACAGGATTTACTTGCATGAGATGGCAGTCCTTGTGATGACCACTGCGATTGGGTCACCTATGGCGCATGTCATGGTCTGAACGGAGGGCCGTTGTCTTTCAGGACCAGCAGGCCAATGCGGAGCTGGCCAAGATCATGGGGCAGTTCGCGGAGTCTGGAGAGCAATCTCCCAGTTCCAGCAGCAAAGGAGACGACCTTCTGGCCATGATGGACGGGCTGTGACACGGCCCCTCGGGGGGAGGGGGGCTCAATGCATCGTCAGCAGTATGTTCCACAGAAGACCAGCCTGCCGTCCGCACCTGCAGAAACATGGCATGCAGTTAGAAATCCGCCTTCTTTGGGTGCTTTTTAAAATGCGGATGTGAGTCGGTGTTTCCATTGATTGTCGAATGACGAGTTTGCACCTTTTGGGTTGCAAATAACGTCACGAGGACGCTGTAATATGATGCTGTTTTAGTTAACGTATACAGTGGGCTGATGTGGTTGTATTAAACATTTGCGTGTTAATGGAGTTGGACTGCTCCTGTACTCAAGATTTACATCTCAGTTTTAGTTTAATTGATTACGTGAGGTCCGTAATTCCATTTTAAACCTAATGAATGATACTGAGGGGGAACTGGAGAAAACCCAAGTGCTCTTTCTGATGGGATTTGAATTCGTTCAAATCTATATTTTGATTAAAAAAAATATGTTCCTCTTGCTTCATACTCTACTTCCTTAAAACAGCACGAGAGGCAACATGACGGACATTTTTCACTATCTTGTTGTGTCTATAGTCTTGATGTATAGCCCAGATGTGCTCATTGAAGAGTATGTTATTATGATGGAGTAATGCAATATAGTGTTTGTCTAATATGTAAATATGTTAATTGCATACTGTATTTATTTAAATGTAGTATTTCCTTGTATGCATATTGCTACAGTTGGTTAAATGTGCTGTATAGGATTTTTAATAAAAGGATGGCACCAAGCTCGTTGCAGTTACAAGGCTCTAACACTAGGGGGAGCTGTCCGGCCTGCATTCAAACTGCACCCTGTACTGTGGTCTGTACAAATCTGCTTGATTTATATGTGTCTACCAACAAACCACTACATTAAAAGCAATGTGCTTGAATGTAATCCCCAATTAGACTCCCGGCCACAAGCACAAACCTACAATGAAAATGACTACAGCAGCAGCAGCAGCTATCTGTAGATAGATATTTGTGTGAAGTCTTCTTCCCGCAGGTTGGCCAAAGTGGGACAGTCTGCACTTCCCCAGTAAACCACACTGGAACATGGTGCATACCAGCCAGGCGAGACATGCTGAGACATTTCTCAGATCTGATCTGGGGGGGGAGAGGATTCTGGTGAGGTCTTAATAATCTTGGCGACGCAAAAACAAAGAAATCGCGCGTGCCCTGAGGATACTAAATACCTGCAAACAAACAGAAACCAGAGCTCATGTCAGTCATTCCTGCAAGGGTGTTCACTGATGTTAGGCTCAATAGAAAACAACACCTTACCATAAAGCCTGTAATGAGGATAATAATATTGTATTGGCATACTCCCAAAAAAAGCTAAATGGGATTTCTAAGGTATCTAGTAATAGTCAGTGATTTTAAAATGACGTACAAAGTGCAAATAGTGCAAAAAAGGGAAAGAATTGCACCTTGTTTATCTAATAGGGGGCAAATATGAATTTATTATATATAATTTAAAGTCCTTAATGTACAGAAAATGCATTCATACAAACATTCCAAAAGACACGCTTAAATATGTTTCTGTCGCAAACGTTGCATTCGAGTTATGATTGAGTTTCCTCTTTAAAGATTGTGGGCAGGCCACTGTAAAGCCACAGGCTGACGGGTGTTTCATGTGGCCGGGGGCCCATGCTCCTCTGAGTCAATGCAGGAAGACGGGTGCGACTCAAACAGGGCCTTAGCATTTAGGTTGCCCTCTCTGTCACACCTGCCTACTGGTTTGAAAGTGGTAGCCGTGGGTGGAATTTCAGGGGGATGCGAAATAGGAAATAGGAAACATGGGTGGGCTTTGCTGAATGTCAGTGTCATGCGAGGGTGAGTAAATGAAAAGGAAATGCACCTTTAGTGAGATGTCATCTTGCCAAAATGCAACTTCAACACAAGGAGGAGTATGAGTAACTTAGTCATTAAACTTCCACTATGTCAAATGATAAATGCGCAATATTTGTCAGCAGGCACTCAACCCAATACTCAAATACACCTCTATACTAAGTGCATTACCTTTGGTTAAATAAACAGGCAACTTGAATAGTTTCCCTGAAGAGAAAGTGTTGTTTGATTGTTTCATATGATTTTCATAATTCCATGTCATTCGATTTTTTTAATACTTAAACATGTGTTTTTTCTTATGCTCTTGATATTATTTTTAGATCATCTAAATGCTTTGCTTGCAAAGTGGCCAAACGGTAAACGTAAGAAGTTGAGTTCATTCGCATGACACAATAAATAACCACGGCGATGTGTGCAAGTGGTGTTATTTTATGGTGCAACAGACTCTATTTGAATGTACCAAACATTTCCCGTAAAAACAACTATGATGTAATGTATTAAGTTTAGCAACTAGTATTATGCAAAGGGTTTAAACACCGGCGAGCGTCCATTTACCAGGAAAGAAGAAAAAAAAACAGGCTGGTGTTTGCATTGGTCGATCGCAGCTGTCAATCAAATAAGTATGTGCGTCATTTCCGTTGTCAGGTGGTGCTGTCGCTGTGGAAAGATGCGATCAGCGAGGAGCGGAGGCTTTTCCTTAATTGCTCATTTCAGCAACGGAGGCTGAACGACCCGAAACCAAACCCTCCGTGGTCCCCTACGCTGTCTGGGCGTAGAAGCTCCGCGTGTCCGCCGCGGCGTCTCGCCGAGAAACACCCATGTTGTAAGCAGACGACGCGCAGACTTTAACCCGGCGGTTTTTGGCTCTCGAGGTAAGCGAGTGCATTGCTACCCCCCCCCCCCTCCGTTAGCTCTCCGGCGAAGCTAGCCAGCTGTAGTACCGACGTTACCTACTGTGTTTAAATGGCCTCCGGCGCCGCTTTTAGCTAGCGTCGCTCGCCAGCAGCGGCGGTCGTAACACCGGTGGTACACAATAACAGCGTTAACGAGATTCGGGACGGGAGCGGGGCGGCTAAAGCCAATAAAAGGCTGCCAGACGTTTCTTTTTTTTTTGAGACAAAACCCAACCCCCGGTGTTGTGTGACAGGGTGGTGCCCCTTTTAGCCCCGGTGTCCCCCCACGGGGGGGGGGCCTCCACCCGGGGTTGGGGGGGGGGGGGGGGGTGGCAGCAGCCCGACAAAAAGCCCCCCTCGTTATTTTTGTGTTGCTCTACGCACAGACGTTAACGTTGCAGAACGTTGGCTCGCTTTAAACGAGCCACTTCGGCCGCGGGCCCATAACCGGCGGCGGCGAGTGTCACGAACGCGCACCGTGTTACGCGCTTTACTGCGCGTGGTCCGGAACGTCTCCGAGGCGGGGGGACGGGGGGACGGGGGGGTCAAACGGTCTCGCTAGTGCTTGTAGAGCGAACGCATTACAGCACCCGCTAACTCGGGTTAGCGCGTGCGGCGTGAGGGTCGACGTGCGACTCGTTCAGGCTGCTGGAGCCGCGCGGTGTGTCCACTCCGGACCGCGGGGCTCGCAAAATGGCACCAATCAACGTGTGCGTGTGTGTGTGTGTGTGTGTGTGCGCTTTCGCCATGTCATTTCCAGTGTGTACGCCACCCGCGTACGTGGTCAGGGACGTTGTTGCTGACACGACATGATTGACGTCTCCTTCAAGCAGCAGGTATTGACGCCTGTGTGACCTTCGGCCGGCCCTCACCTCTCTGTCCCCACTTTGGTGATTCGTTGAAACCGACCACATCGCCTCCCCTGACGTCTATATTTACCACCTGCTCTAGTGTCCTTATGCTGTCTTCTGTCCACCCGGACCGCTGTCCCGATCACGCTGCCCTGGCCGGAGCCAGACGAGTGGCGTCTGGGTGGGTGCATCCTGAGGCACCTACGCGCTTGTTTTCTCCCAGATGCTATTTTTAAGGAGCCCACATTTCTCGTGGGCACCGGCAGCGTGTCTCTCCTCCCTTTTTTCTTTTTTTTTTGTTGTTGTGTGAGATGATTCAGAGGCTGTATCTGTTCTTGTCCTCTCCCCCCGGTACAGTCAGAGGCAGAGGCAGGTCTTGCTTGCCAGATCACTGGCTGTGCGGCGAGGCACAGCGGCGTCAGAAAGGGGTCGCCGCGCGCCGTCATTGCGCTGATGTCATTTAGGTCAGCGTGTGCATCCGTTGGTTGCGTTGACCTTTTTCCGTTGCTTTCGCTGTGTCAGGGGTTGACTCCCCAGCAACATAGCTGGTGTCCAGTAGGCAGACAAATGGCCATGGGACAACCCGCTGCGTATCAGTTGGGTCAGATTAGAGTTTCATCGGGTGCGTGGATTACATTTGTTTTTTCACAGCTAACGTTGTCTGTTAGTTTCCCCACCTATCTGCTTTATTACTGTATATATTTGCCTTTTATAGCTCTCAGCCAACTATTTAAAATGCATCTAAACGCATTTGGAGCTGTATATACACCCACACTTTCCTTTCCCAGGAGCTTCATGAATGGCAGTAGTTGACTATCCGTCGCTTCTCTGGGAAGATGCTCTCTTACTATTGGCAGGGTGATGTTGTCACCCTGCCTCGTGCCATGAATGCTGTCAGAAAACCTCAGCTCATCAGACTCAGCGGGTGACGACTGGTGGAGATGGAGACAGATGGGCGAGAGACACGATGATGACACTGTCTGCTGTCTGGGATCATAGAAAGCCTCATGGACGTGAGAATTCATACCGGCCCGCAGCTGACTGCCAACTGTCCCGCCTCCTCGCTGCCCAAAAACGCCAACTGGCGGGTGGTGCGCGATCCTTTTTTTTTTTTAAACTGGAAGATGTCCTAATTCATTAAGAATATTCTATTTTCAGTTGTTCGTTCCATTCGCGAGACTAGTCCCGTACCCTGAAGTCGCCCTTGGGCTTTGTCTACGCTCCCGTCAATGTCTGCTCTGCGGTTTCTGAGGTATTCTGGAAGTTGTTGGTCTTAATCACCTCGCGTGAATTTTGCTAAAATATGCTCACCAATTAGTGACATTCTTCCTTCAGCTACGAGGACACGGCGCATGTCAGAGGCTTGCTGGTGCGTCTGTCTAACAAATATCGCCGTCATCACCTGGTCATTTTCTGTCCAATGGAAAGTGACGGCGACAGCCGGGTGAATCACTCCTCTCGGTTGAAGGCACTACTTCCCTGTTACGGGAAACTGATGGTTTCATCACATAGGAACTCGGTCAGTAAACGAAGCATACCTCTCGCTCTCTGACTGGGAGGGAGATCTGCCGTGGCAGTTAATGTAGTTTGTGTAATGATGATGTGTCACACTGTCAATGGTCCCTCTGGCATGTGAATCTGTTTCCTTATCATACTGTAAGGGCTTGGCTTTTTTTTCTTTTCTTTTTTTTTCTCTCTCGCCCTTGTTCGAGCACGCATGTCCCTCCAGATGAAGGTAACGCCAGATAAGCCGGCTGAACAGATTTTGAGATAAAACGCGCAGATTAGGAGCGGACGGGTTTTTCTAAAACCGCGTCCACCGCGGCCGTTTCAGCGCTCGGCGTCAAATTAAATATGCGTTTCCTTAAAAAAGGACTGAGTGCTAGTTTTACATGACAGGCTTTGCTATTCCAATTGCAAATTCTGGCACGTTCACGCAGCCTGTTGGGGAGATTGAATCTGCGGCGTCACTCTTGACGCCAGCAGCCATCATTCTGAATGGAGCCGTAATGGCCTCACATTCACACATAGGTGTTGGTAAATGTGTGGGAGGGATATTTAAAGTGTGCTGGGAGGAGCTGCCCTGCAGTTTACCTCCACTCTCGTCTATTCGGTAAATTCTGTAGTACCGCGGCTGGATCTTTTGGGTATAGCCATCGTTTTTTTTAAATCCATTGCTTTGTGACTGCTGCCAGTTTTGTCCATGCGGTGACGTGTATGCAACGTTTAACTTGACCGTCCTTGTTGCTGTGTACTAATCACGTGCGTTTCCCTCAATAGCTCCAGTATGTCCAAGCGGCGCTTGTCGGAGAGGGGGGCTGGAGAGACCTCAGGCAGGGCCAGCAAGCTGCAATGTCCTGGGATATCCGGCAATAACGCCAAGCGGGCCGGGCCCTTCATCCTCGGTAAGGAATTCCTCTGCACAAAACCCCCAAAAGCACGGAACGCAAAGTTGTCTGAATGGCTGAGATTGCACCCGGTGTGTGTGTGTGTGTGTGTGTGTGTGTGCGGGTAGGAAATCGGTGAACTGTGTGTGAGAGTTGCGGGGTGTCCCTGTGTGGGCGCACGCCTAAGGCAAGAATGCAAAGAATTTATCTGATCCCCTGACATGGACCAGAAAGGTCCCAGTCTGTGTTGGTGCAGGGTTATTTGAATTTCCTCCCCCTGTAAAAAGGGGGGGGGGATCTCTCCCTCGAATGTCTTGTTGTTTTCTACTACTCCACTCCTGCACTATTTGCAATGCAAAGTGCCAAAGAAAACATTACACCGGGGGTGTTAATGGGTTTGTGCATATGCAGCCTTTTAATGAGTCGCCGTGGGAGCACACACTCCGGCATGTGGCCCTCCTTTTGCTCATGCAGCTGTTCCTTTCTCATCCTCGCAGGGCCTCGTCTGGGCAACTCACCCGTGCCCAGCATAGTGCAATGTCTGGCCAGAAAGGACGGCACCGACGACTTCTATCAGCTCAAAGTAGGTTCTTCATGGGTGGCACATTTTTGGGGGTTCCTTCACCCAAACACAGTGAGCTGCACAACACAAAGATCTCCCAGTCGGGGTTCGTGCGGTCATGGAAAACCTGGGAAAAGTCATGGAATTTCAAAATGGTCATTTCGTGGAAAGAAATAAAATCCTGGAAAGGTCATGGCAATTTGTTATATTTCCATGGTCATGTGGTTCATTTAAGATTACGTTTGAAATCATTCATATGGTTTTAAAGAGACTCTCTGATACTCGCAGCGCAAATAATTCTCACCGCGGCGTCGTAAACGCGCCTTAACTGAGAAGTTCGGTAGCTCAGGAATCATCCAGTGTCAGGGAAGTGTAGATTTAACCGTGGTTGGCTACATATGGAAAAGTGCATCTCATGAGTTACGACAAACAAAGACCCGGGACGAGCAGAATGTAAGTAATGTGGAGGCGGAACATTATATATTTTAAACATGGGAGAGCGGCGTTAACGAGCCGTGCTAAAGGAAGCAGACATCACTGCGCCGCTGCTAGCGAAGCTACTACAGAAACCCCATCAGAGGGCGACTGCTAGCGAAGCCACCATGCCGAGCAGCACGTCTCTCTTCGGGCCACCGGCGCTGTACGTGCGCTGCCCGTCTGCTAGCAGCAGTTCCAAGTTGTAAACAGAGGGCGTGGCGGCGTTGCTTCGGTGTTCTTTGTCATTGAGCCGTATTAAGCTGCAGACACGTGACTTAATTTTCCTCCTCGAATGACAGATCATTTGATTCTTTTCGTTTTGTGTTTATTTTATTCTGCAATGCATCAACATAATATACAATCACTACATTCTATCACACGGCAGATAAACGATATGCTCTTGTGCCTCATGCAGCTCTTCTGTGTTGCACCTACTGCAAACACAACGTCAATACATGGAGACACACAAGGAGCGTCAATCCAACATAAATGCGTTCAATACAGGTTGCATATCTTTAGTTCCTGCACAATGACCGTAAATTAAATGATTAATATTCCAATGAAGTAATACATACACTTACACCAGCTCTTACAGAGACTGTATGCCTACTGTAAATTGTTAACAGTTCATGTATTGTCCATAATAAAGTAAAATAATGGAAAAAAAGTGTTTTAGCACTGGTATCAGGAAAACCCCAAACGATACTCGTCCATAGTGGATAATTGTATAATTATAACACCAAATTGAATGGTGGGGGAAACACTGTATGCTTTGGTATTCTTATTTTTAGTTTAAATACATTTTCTCACTTTTTTTATGTGTACACTGAGGTTTCACTTATTTGGTCATAGAAATCCACTGGTCAAAATGTGTATGAACCAGGCAGTAGACATCCGAACCTTTGACCTTCCTTTTGTTGGTGTTCATTTTATGGCCCCACTGTTTCGGTTTGCTGCAAACAACAGAACCTCCGCTGGGAAATCTGTTTATTGGGGCTATCCACTGTCTATTACACACAGGGGGGGGGGGGTCGAGGTCCCACCTGGAATGCCGACTGGCCGCGTAGTGAGTCACTGCTCTCGCGCCCGAAGACTACAGCGCCTCGGTGTCTGCCGCGCCGCTTGTTTGCTTCGGTGGCGAGCCGCTGTTTTTAAAGCGCTCACCGCCTCCACTCTACAGATTGCAACTTCCTGTTGGACGCTACGCAGATTGTAACGCCTTCACTTATGCAATGGCTGTTCAGTCATGACTTTGTGCTTGATTTAAAGCGCACTTTCTGCGGTCTGATCCCGCATGGCCTCTTTGCCTCGTGACCTCTTAACGCTTTCCGTGTGTTCTACTGCAGATTCTTACGCTGGAGGAGCGAGTGGACTCTGCAGGGGAGACTCAGGAGGAGAGGCAGGGGAAGATGCTTCTGCACACGGAGTACTCCCTCCTCTCTCTGCTGCACAACCAGGACGGGGTGGTCCACCACCACGGCCTCTTTCAGGTAGACTGGCCTCTGCACACGTTTGGCTATTCATTTTTGTTCCTGTCCACGGGTGAAAAGAATATTTTTCACATAATTGTTATTGCGGGGGGGTCTTTTAGTTTATGGTGTGTTACTCAGAACTGTGGGTGAGTTTCCTGTATAATTGTAAATGCTAACTACACCAACATTGCCATGGAGACGTGGCTTTTTATTCCGTTCAGAATATGGCACGACGGTGCCACGGCAGGCTCTCGTGAGGCAGCCGGCAGCTCGTCATACGTCCTGCCAGCGGCTTGTATTGTCATGGGAGACGTGGGAGTACCATTTAAAAGCCATGTTTATTTGAAGCCATTCTCTATTCACAGCCTCCTCCCCCAACACACACACACACACACACACACACACACCTGTCTTCCTGTCCGTCTCCTCCCTTGGCCTTGTTATTGTTCCATCTTCCTCTTCAATGTCCTCTCTCGCTCAGTTTTTCATCCTCGTCTCTCTTCCACATCTACCTGTTTCACTCTGCCACATGTGTTCTCAGAATAGCAGCATTGAGTCATGCGCTAACCCTCTGATTCGTTTGGCCTTCACTATTGAGATCGGTCCTCTACGCGGTGAGGCAACCCGCTAATAATTAATAGAGCATCTAAAACCTCTTCAAACCTGATACAGCTATTAATAAAAAGGTCGAAGCTGGAATTGGAGGAATGACCTCCACCAACCGATGTGTGGGTGCATCTCATTCATTGGCTACATGATTTCCAGTTGAGGCTCTTCATTTCGTACTTCTGATTTGAAGGTCGACGGCATAGTTCAGGATTCCGTTCAGGTCGATGCATTCATGGCCGCCTCAGCCGATATCGATCTGACCGTTAAAGTTCCTCTAAAATGCATTAACTGTTGTTTACTTCCTGAACGTCGGCGCTCACACTCCCTTTTTGTGATTTTCTCCCAGGACCGCGCATACGAGATAGTGGAGGACATGGAGGCCAACAAAGTGCGCAAGATGAAGAAGCGGATCTGTCTGGTGCTCGACTGCCTGTGTGCTCACGACTTCAGCGACAAGACGGCGGATCTAATAAACCTCCAGCATTACGTCATAAAGGAGAAAAGACTAAGCGAGCGCGAGGCCATCATCATTTTCTACGATGTGGTGCGTGTGGTGGAAGCCCTTCATAAGGTAAGTCTAGGATGGAATTTGTTAAAGGTTTTGGTTATTTATTCCACTTCTCTGGTCGGATGTCTAATAATAAATAATTGTTTTATTCATTAACACATTTGCTCACGCGCGACTCACCAGAGATCATGAGAATGAGATATTGGTTCACAGACTATTACAATGTTCATTGCCTTTTTTCTTCTTCAGGGAAACACTTTATCTCTTGTGATTCTCCAGTTCATTTAGTTTGTGAGAATAATGCGTTTAGAATTGTGCGAGTACAAATGAAGCGTCGTCGTTGAGCCTTGACCTCAGAAACCGCGTCATCCATCATATCATTAGAAACATCTGAGATCCTACTGTAGGAGAAGGATCCCAGGTGTCGAAGAAATGTTCACATCTCACCTTCTGATCGTTTTGTTTTTGCCACTGAGCGCCATCTGAGCAAACATTTTCCCCTCTACTCTTCCCCTCCTCATGCAGAAGAACATTGTGCACAGAGACCTCAAGCTGGGAAACATGGTGCTGAACAAACGGTAAGGTGAAACTCCTCCCCCTCATTCTGATGCCATTCTACTCGGCCGGTTATATTGGCCTGCCAGTAAGTCGTCCTTATGTGTGTGTGTGTGCGTGTGGGCCCAGCAGCCGGTATCCAGTGTGCATTTGGCTTTAAAGCCCAAGCAGGACTCACATTCTCAGACAGGCTCACATTGGTCGTAGAAACCCCAAACCATGCTCATGTTTTTGTTGGGTTGTTGGAAGGGGGAACCAGATTCTGGTGCCACGGCTTTTTCCCAGTGGAAGAAAGAACTATTCACATAAACCTGCCCGCCGAGCGCTCCTTGGCCGCTAAAGCCACTCTCGTAGTGAAACAACTGCAAAGTTTTACATGACTGCATTCTTGCATTGAACCTGTGGGTCGATGCCGCTAAACAGCAGAGATCTGCACGCACGTGCTTGAAGACTGACAACAATCCCACAAAGCTGACCTTTTCCTTTTGGAATGACACACACACACAGTCTCTCCCTGCGCCTACGCTGGCTGCACATACAGTCGGATCCACACAGCGCACGCTTACATCACGCAGCAGTAGGCGTCGTCATGGAGTTCTCCCCCGCTGTACTTGGTCACGTCTCGTACATTGTCTGTCAGGATGTGCACGTGCACTGACGGGTCACGAGCACACCGGTCAGAGCCTGTTGCGTCCTCCTCCAGCAGAGTGGTGATGAAACGAGTGTTCTGCTTTGCTTGCTTCCCCGTTTCCTCTCGTCACTCCGCCCAGGATGAATGCACGGGCCCGTGTGGGAAGGAGGTGGCCAATTTTAGATGCAGACCGCTCCTGAAACCCTCCCCTGCTGCTCCTCACTCGGGGCATTGCACCGATCTCATCAACAAGCTCAGCAGTTGATGCATGAATGATGTGATTTCCTCCTGTGGAGCCAGCTGTTATGAAAGCCGGATGTCATAAATGAGTCTGCAGGGTTTGTGTCAGACTGAAACGCGCGGCTATAGACGAAGAGACGCCACTGAAGTGTGTTCGTCTCTCTCCCAGACCGTTTGTGTAAATTGGAATCTCCGTATTCACTGTTATGGTCCCAGGACTTGACGTTCGGGCAATTTTTTTGTGCTCTCTTGGGCATGTTTTTTTTGTATTGCAATACTCTTTTTGGAACATGCAATCCCATAAGACGAGCAGCAGCAATTATTACGGCTTTGAATTGCTTCTGTAGAGGTCAAAGGTACGCCTACAACCCTCGCAATCCCCGTTCTGAGAAAATGATCTGCAGAAGTTGACCTGCGCTTAACCCCCGTTCTCGTCAGCAAAATGTTGTGGCCGGGGAGGGTAAATCATGGGGGCTATTTAGGTTTCTGGTTTCCTGACTCACCCGGGCTCGCATGAACAGGAAGCATCGACTGGGCCGTCTCTCTCCAGTCCTCGGGGACCCTCTCCTCACGAGGCAAACATGCAATTTCATTCACCCAATCTCCGGTCGTGACGCGGACAGACAAAAGAACAGACTCCTCTATGAAGGAAGCTTTTATGTCGAGGGTCCTTGAAGCATGGCGCTCTTGTTTCGGGGCCCCTCCCTGTGCAAATCACAAGGCCACTGTATGGTGTCCTAGATTTTGACCACAAAAGCTCTTCAAGGGTTTAATCGTACAAGTAGCTGGAAGAGGATTTGAGATCGGAGCATCGTGTGTGTGTGTGATGGCGCAGGTTGTGAAAGTAGAAGCAAATAAGGGAAGCTGTTGACCTCAGGCTTTTTAGAAAGCGGATGTCTGAGGAGCGGGATCTGGACCGCGGCTGCTTGCCGGTGTCTCCGTGTGTCCCCCGCGGGAGGGATCGTGTGGCTGCACATCCAAGTTTCCCGTATTTGTAGACATCTTAAATCTTTTTGTGCGCTTTATATACTCGTTTGGCAACCCATCACCATGCAGGCTTAGTCATCGGAACAATTATGTCAAGCCACAAGTTGACTCATGTGTTTGTCAAAGTGCAGCTTTTCGTTTTCTCATTCTGTGCTGAAGGAACACGATGACATGGAACCGTCTTCAACGCTGTCGCGTTCACTGCAACGTTGACCTTAAAGACTCCGAGACTAATCTCCTCCCTGGGTCTTCCCTCGCACTCTGGGGTGCCAGTGTGTCTGGCTTGGTTTTTATGTCTCAGGCCCGATGCAGACAGAGCTAATGTTGATCTTGAATGCAGACCATTGGGGGTTTAAGGGAAAGGTACAGGGATGAGAACGAGCTTTTTTCATGAGCATTTTTGTGGTAGATATGAAGCCTGCAGGTTTGTGACCACGAGTCCCCGTATTGACGGCTACTCTTAACACCTTTTAACCACCTGAAGTTCTTTCTGCAGATAAACATGCATGCTGAGAAATTGACTCTAAGAGCTACAGAGGAAAAGTGCAAATAAGTTCCTGAGGAAATTGTGTGTCTGCTGGGGACCCTCGGTCGGTGTGTGATGAAGAATCTAAACTGCTTCTTCACTGCAAAAGGAACCTATAAGATGTGTGACTTGAGTCTTGCAGACTCTGCACCCCCACCCCCTCTGCTCGGTAGTCACGAGATACTGACTATTTTAAAGGCCCAGTGAACCGTGAGAAGGGGCCACGCTCGCGAGTTCTTCTGTCAGCCCGTGTTCACTCGGCGCTTCGGGCTGCGAGTGCAGTTTCCCCACATTCTCAACTCTCATTCCTCCCGATGAGTAAGACTGTTTTGCCGTAGTTTAGTCAAATTAAAGAGGAGTACTTTGGGTGTGTTCGTCCGCAGTAGGAACATTCACTTCACTGTATGAAAGTGTTTTAATCAGGGGTTTTGTTTGTGCTTCCAGGACTCACCGAATCACCATCACCAACTTCTGCCTGGGGAAGCACCTGGTGAGCGAGGACGACCTGCTGAAGGACCAGAGAGGAAGTCCGGCCTACATCAGCCCCGACGTGTTGAGTGGTGAGTGATGTCGCATGCGTGTTTTTATATAGTCCTTTCTGTAACTCGATGCGCGTCACTCCGAAACTGACAACCAGCAGTCACAACCTGTTTGGTGGCCGCCGGTCATGTGTGCACAGGTGTCAACCTTCCACACGGGCCGATGTACGTACACGTAAACACAATGTCCGACCCGGTTCTGGTCAGCAGACGGCCCCTGTGGCCCCGGGGGCCATTTAAGCAGCGTTGTGTAACGTTAAGCAGACAGCCTTGTGTTGGATTTTTCTTGTTATTAGGCAACACAAAAGGGGTTTATGTTGCAATCTCTGATCCAGTTAGAAACTGCTTTTCTTTTTTCCCCCTGTCGTTTGTGTAATCGTGGTGATGTTGCGTTCTGTCATGGTGTGTGTGTGTCTGCCGACGAAGCTACTTTCCTCTTTTGCGTGAAACGTTTTCTTTGTTTGTGGGGGGGTGAAAAAAAGCAGAACTCCATTCTGTTGTCGAGCTTCACAATGCTCACTTGTCAAGGACCAGTCGGCTTCATGCTCGGGCACTTCCACGGTGAAAAGCCGACGCCAAATCCACAACGTGGTCTTAGACAGCGGACAAGATGAGGGGGGGAATCATTTCAGACAGAAATCCTCCGAGTAACTCCTGAACGGCGCCTTTACATCAGCATAACGTGACAGGCGCGCAATGAAACGCGCTCCAGTGACTCACGCTCCGATGACTCACTGGAGGGAAACTACTCCCATCTACCCCCTTCCGTGTGCGTGTGTGTGTGTGCGTGCGTGTGCTGTGCGCGTGTGTGTGTTCAGGCTGTAACAACACGGCCTATGGTCATGCACAGCCATGTTGCTCCACCTCCAACAGCTACAGCACATTCATCGCCGATCCGTAGCGTCTGATTTTAGATGTTCAGGGTTGGTTTAAAAAAATAAAAAGTGCCTGTAGCTTCCCCTTGTTTACCCATCTCGTTAATCATTAGACACCGTGACATGGCGGGGGGGGCGGGGGGGAGGAGGAATCCAACCCGTTTCGGTTTCAACTCCTGAGGCGCTCGGGACAAAAATGTTGATTTATCTGTTGTCTGAGTACAGTCTCCATTTTTGTTGTCATCGCACTCTGACCCGGACCCCCGTCCCTCCTGTCTGCAGGGCGGCCGTACCGCGGTAAACCCAGTGACATGTGGGCTCTCGGCGTGGTCCTGTTCACAATGCTGTACGGCCAGTTCCCCTTTTACGACAGCATACCTCAAGAGCTCTTCCGCAAGATCAAGGCGGCGGAGTACTCCATCCCAGAGTGAGTGTTTGTCCCGTCCGTGTGCCGGCTTTAACGGCATGAAGAGCCGCGTGTGGTGGTTTGCCACGTTCTCACGTCCAGCTTGGACCTGAAGAAATGACACTATAATCCTCCCAATATTTTATTAAAGCGAAAGCTGTGTCTTTCCGTCCTCTCCTCCCAGGGACGGCCGCGTGTCGGAGAACACGGTGTGCCTGATCCGGAAGCTGCTGGTGTTGGACCCTCAGCAGCGGCTTACTGCAGGAGAGGTGCTGGAGGCCCTCAGCGGCGTCATCGCCTCGTGGTAACTGCGCCCCCTGCTGGTTGTTTGTCAAATGTGTTGATTGTCATGATTTATTAAGGAAATAACACGCACCACTTTGTAGAACATCTGCTGCTTCTTGATCTGATTTATTAGGGACGCTGTTCTGCTGAAGTTCTCTTCAGACTGGCGAGATCACTGGTGGTAATCGTCTTTGTGTTTCCGTAACAACAGGCAGACGGTCTCGTCGTTGAGTGGCCCTCTGCAGGTGGTGCCGGATATCGACGATCAGCTCAACCACGTAGAGCTTCTGCAAGAGGTAAATATTGGAAAAACATGACTGATTTGAAAGTGGATAAAGCCACAATCGGCTAAACTACAGCTACTCGTGTGCATCGGAGGTTCACGTCATTCAGCTCCCGATTGTTGCGGCACATTGATCAGGTGACGTTTTCCTCCCCTCAGGCCAAGGTGATCGAAGAGTCTTCGCAGTACGAGTTTGAGAACTACATGCGCCAGCAGCTGCTGCTGGCAGAAGAGAAGAACACTATCCACGAGGCCAAGAGCTTTCTCACCAAGCGGCAGTTTGGCAGCATCCCGCCCGTGAGGCGCCTGGGCCACGACGCACAGCCCGTCAGCCCGCTGGACGCCGCCATCCTGGCACAACGGTTCCTCCGGAAGTAGTCCCCCCCCCCCCCACCGGCCGCGCCAGCCCTTCCAAAGGGAGTGCAGGAGACCTGCGAGGAGGGTGAGACCCCCACCCTCCCCCACCAGGACTGAGCCTGCATACAGGACGGCCCGTCCTGAGCCAGGGAACAGACGGCCCCATTCGTTAGTGGACTGGGCAGCGCAGGCGGGAAGGGGGGCGCCCACCGGGACAAACTGACGATTTGAACCTTCACTCCTCCAGAGAAACGCGGAGTGTCCAGGAGGAAGACCTGAACCAAAGGTTCCCTTCCCTCAGGTCCCCCACAGTCAGACGTCACTGTGCAGCAACCTGACGGGGCAACGCGAGGCTCTGCCTGCAGCAGTTGAAGAGACGTTCAACCCCATGTTCCTCCTCCATACTGTAACACTTCCCCGTCAACTCTGGATCCCCTGAGCAACTCAGGACCATGTAGCAACCCCCCCCCCCACCACCCTTCCTAGTGGATCCCCTGATCGCAGATGTCACTTCTCAATACCTCCATTTCACCCTCCCCCCCCCTCGTTCCTGCTCCTCTGTGTTGTTGTACTGAAATGATGGAGACTGTTCCCGTCTGCAACTCTGACTTCAAATCAATCTACCTCCGTCTCTCTCGTCTGTTGGTAAACCATGCTCACTGTTCTGAGACAAGGGATTGTAACGATGGAGTCTTGATGCCACCAGTGACACGAAGCATTAATGTTTTCTGTCCGAGTGATCGTGCTTTGAAACTTTTTTTTTTTTTTTTTTTGTGGTTTCAGAAAAATCCGAATAAGCTTTTTATCATATTCACCTTTAATAAGTAGCATTTCATCCCTCCCTTTTTGGTTTGAAGATAATGAATAGCAAAGAATGTGTACCTGCATCCTTTGGTGTCTGCAGAACGCGTTGTCTTCTGCTTTTGCTCCCTGTGCAAATCTCTAATTTGGCTCCTAGGCAGCTGGTGTGAGGTACCTGGAAGTCACAACACCTGAATGGGGGAAACACTGTTGGATCCTCCATGCCGAGGTAACGATGGTAACGCTTCCTCATAGTGGAGATCTGAGCGCTGTCCTGTTTCTCTCGCCAAACGTCATGTCTTAAAGTACCTCTTAGCCAAGGAAACCCACGGCCTCGTTCACAATCAAATGGCTTCCAGGTATTCCAACTTCCCCCGTTTCCCTTCGTCAAGAAGGACGATGGGATCCTTTTCTTCTCTCTTTCAGTATGAATGTGAGCTGTCATTCTGTGCTTTTTGAGTCCGTGGAGCTGTTCACCTCCGACAGCCACAGACCCTTGAAGCCGACCTCCGATCATCGCGTTCAGTTCTCTGGCCACTGTGAAAACCAGAGCGCGCTCCGCCGAGACGGGACCTGACTGAATGTTTTACCGATTGCCACGAATGCTCTCTCTTCGCATTCTCAAGCCTTCTCTCCAGCTCAACCTGCACATGCTTGTATCCTCGCCCCGCGGAGCCGCTGGTTGATGCTGTAATATTTCATGGAGAAATGAAAAGTCCATAGCTTAAGTTTATTAGCTGGGGCTTCTTGGCTAATGATGCCTTCTGGTCTTTGGACCACGGCGAAGCAACCAACCAGTGACTGTTGGGCATCAGTACGTTGCGTATCGGTACCTACTTTAGGCCTGCTAGACTTCTTCCTATTTATAACTGTTTGCATGAACATAGGCTCTGAAATGTGTATTTTTTGTTTTTCCAAATGTCTCCTTTTTCCTTTTTTTTGTAATTTCATGTTGATTTATTTATTCTCTTGTGTAGAACCCCCCTCCGCCCCCCATGACAGGTGCTACTTACGTCAGCGTAAAGGGGCCCAAACCTTCTTCAAAGAAGGGCTGTAAACTCGAGCAGTGGTTTTCTTGTGATTAGCAGCCGCGTTCATGGAAGAGTAGCATCGACTTTGTTTCCCTTTTTAATTCCTCAGTCTTTTTCTTGCCATTTTTTAAAATCTGTGGTCAACTTAAGCTACACTAATAACGAGACTGACTTTGCATAGTTAGTTTTTTTTCTTTTTTTTTTTAGGAAAACTGCCACCCGCACATGATCATGATTTCTAGGAGGGTGTTAAGTTTGTTCATTTACCCCCAAATTGTCCACACGAGGCCGCGCTCGCATCGTAAGTCGGTCCACGCAGTGAGACGGCCGTGCATTATGGCAACGTTTGCTGTCGAGCACCACATCCAGAAGCTAAAGTGGATGTGATGGGAGCGGTAACCCCCCCCCCACCCTCCCACCCTCCACCCCCTCAATGTGAATCCCGCGGGTCCGCAGCAGCGTCGTAGTTCATCAGAAGAACCGTTTCCTGGACACTGCGGCTGTTGCTGAATGAGAACCCTACACAACCCCCATGGGGCGCCAACTACATATTAGATGTTATCTGCGACACGCACGCACCCCAAATTGAGTGTTTCACCTTCTGTTTTCAATGTTTGGTCATACAGAGTTGTATTGGTCGACTGAGAAGCACTGATGTAGTGTGACGTTCAACTCGCTGTCTAAAAGAGAAAACTGTTGCATGATTTTAAACTTGCAAGGCGTGCAGATCATCTACTTTTTTTGATGTCTTTTAGGAAATTTGAAACCTAGATTTACCCCAGAATTTAATTATTAGTAAAACTTTTTCCAGATTTAAGTTTAGTGATTGTCACTCTGCTTGTCGAGTCCTACATCCGAAGTACACAACTAATATATTGCTGACTGTTTCAACTGGAAACTAGATATTAGTTGTAAGCTGAGACTCGTGGTTTAAGCCCAATGGGATATCTGTTGTAAGCTGCTTGGTCGGACATCTAGATACGGAGAACTGCGTAATTGTACAGATGAAAAACACGTTTGTATAAAAAAAAAAACTATTTTTTTACTTCATCAGATCTTTACATGCATGTCAGCAATAAACTTTGATATGGAAACATTCCTCTTCGTCTTCATGCTCTGACACTTCCTCTCGCTTCCAGCAGATGGAGCCCTTCCTTCAAAGATGAACCGGAGAGCAGCAGTTTCACTGGTATAATTAATACTAAATTATGTGCAAATATATACTGAATGTTCTTCTTTGGCTTCCACATGTTTCACTGCCGTCTACAGAAGCGTTCTGTTGGCTAGTGCCAGTCATCTGTACTTATTAACGGTCTTGTCTCAGGCTGAGGAGACTCGTCTGAGGAATAATTTGAGTCTCTGCGTATGTAACCACCTCAGTTTTTGGGGCAAGTCGGTTTTTGAAACCAAACCGAGGAGGAGGCGCTGAAACCGCTGAACCAGCCTGACTCTGAGGTCACTGCCTCCCCTCGGCCCTTTGAATACACAAACAAACCCTCGTCAGTATATTAATTCAATTAGAAGTCCGTTGTGCAAGCTAAAGAACACGTCTCATCGACGTATCGGATCAAGTGTCTCATAAAGTGCAAATGTTTTGTGATGAACCAGGATTCAATCTGACTCATGCACAAGTTTTTGGAGGGTGAAAGTGTTAAAATATTATGGCGTCCAAAGACAAATCATCAGACCTTCGATACACATTTTTCCATCAATAAAAGGTGGTGGTGATGTGTTCACTCTGCACATGAACAGAGTTGTGCGTAACCGTCTCCACCCGTCTGACATCGTCACAGATTCTCCTCCAGAGCTTTACACCCCCGTCCCATCACGTCCAGCAGGGCAACAAAAGTCTTTAAGGGTCAAAGTTGGACAGATTCTTTTTTTTCCCCCCATACATTCCAAGCAGCTGGTCCTCAGGAGGTCCATCCTGGAGTCGTGTGTCTCAAGCAAAGGATGGTTAATGAAACCAACTCCCTCCAGAGAACATTACGTATCTAGTTCCACCGGAGAAGAGCCGGCTGCATCCAGCTGGAAGTGGATGACAAAGCGTGGACAGGGATCCAGATGTGTCCGTGTTCCTTACTGGTAGCCGTGTGTGTAGAACGTACTATGAACAGTTGTCTGTGCACAGCTGGAGCGACTCGGTTAGTTATCGGCGCGTGTTCATGCCGGTCGGAGTGTGTGTGTGTGTCCTGTGTGCAGCAGGCCGAGGCCTCGTGGCCCCAAAACGCACAAAGTCCAACTTATGTAGAATTTGAGCAAAACCAGAAATGCGTGAGTTTTCGCAACATTGAGTGTCGGCTGCCTGCGAGGCCACGCGAAACCAGCCGAAACGGTTCCATGTTCTCCATTTTCTGTAAGTTTATACTGCAACGTAATTCCTTACGTAAGACACCGAAGCCTCTTCATATGTTCCAAGTCCAAAATGAAGAGCGAAGATGAGATTAGCGGCGTTATGATTTCCACTTACTGGAATGCTGAACTAAGTTCATTTTTGTTGGCAGGCTGTCATGGCCACAGGTCTCAAAACAGAGCGCGGTCCCCAGATGTGCTACAAGGAGGAAAAACATCTGCTAAAGGTCTTCCTTCACTCCTTTAAAGACGCTCGCTTTTTCAGTCCAGTTTCTCATATTTGAGTTTTGTTAGAAACAGATGACGAAACAGAAGGTCGTGAAAAATGCAATTAAAGCGTCATCGTCCAGTTAGTGGAGACCACAAACGTCTTCGTCTTTTGAAGTGCTTTTATCCTTGCTTCACTTTACGGTTCAGTAGATGACATTCACATGCTGCCATGTTCTTTTTAAGCTTCAGCCTTCAGATGTGGTTCTGGTGCCGGCAAGAAGCAAAGCCTCTGTTGTTGCTGCTCCGTGTAGTGTAACAACAGATAACGATGGTTCCTCTCAGCACTCGAGACGTCGGGCCAAATGAGCCAGAGAACTTTTTATACACTTCATTAATAATTAGTTTTGGTTTAATTACACTGCTGACAACATTTTGGAAAATATGTTAGAAGTTTCCCCTCCTTTCTAAAAGTTACCGGCATGCCAGCTGCGTCTTTGAGAGAAGAGAGTATTGTCAATTGAACTCAAACTTTTAGACATGTGAGCAAATTACAAAACTACCTGAATTGATTTCAATGGTTTTAATTTGTGGTTTTATCTAAAAGTGTATTTTTCTGGCTTATATTTTTGATATATGCTGCCAACAGCTTGTCAGAACTAAAAAAAAAACCTGCCCTGGGTCCCTATAATTATGATTTAAGGAGTATAAAAATGTTGCTCGAATGTGTTGGTTTCGAATCTTCACGACCTACTAAAGAATGAAATGTTCCAGCGTGGAGAACACTGTCCATCACCATCGTTAGAATAAACTATTTAAAACCCCTCAGAGTGACGTTAATCTCCCCTTCTGACCCCTGCAAAGGGAAACAACCAGGCATATTTGTACCGTATCCTTCTTTCCCCCGAGCGTAGACTAAGCGTGCTTTTCTTCTTTTCACCAACATATCTGATACGTGTACCGTGGGAAGGGTTCTCCCCAGAAGGTTCTATTAGTAGAGCCTCATGTCGACCCGGGGCATGACCCCTCTTCCTCGTGTTTATCTGCAGCACAGCAGAAGAAGGTTCACAGCTGCTCTCTCTGTTTCGTGTCTCTTTCAGGGAGACGTCCTGGGACGTCCGTGCATTCTGTCTCCGGCCCGTTTGCATTTGAGGTGCTACAGAAGGGTTGTGAGTCCCCCGTCTCCTCTTCCCTCCGATGCCACCGAACGTCTCCCTCCGTCTTTCATCACCTCCTCGAGTCGCAAGGTCACAAGAAGGAGCCATGTGCCTTTTTTTCTCGAACTGTCCTCTAACTCTCTAACATCTGGCCCGAGAGGGAGGAGGGTGACCCTGTCAATGGGAGCCCTTGTCCCCCCTCCGACCCCCCCCCCCCTCCCGTCAACACACACGAGAACAGCCCCGCCGCAAGGTGAACAAGGAGGCCTGTGTGTGCTTCCACATGCGTGACCACCGCGGTTCACACTGGAATGACGGCGAACAGGCCGCGACTCACAAGTGTGCGGATGGAGTTACTGTAATTTGGAGGTTGTTGTTTTTTCTTTCAATCCGCCCGTGAAATAAGAGGCTGAATGTTTGCACCCTGGAGAATATCCGCCTCGCAGTAAATACCTCCTCCTGTTTTATCGCCCGGACTCCAAACTGAGAAGACAAAGCATGTTTAATGTCCAGCACACGGGCGCAGGACGGGACAGGGGCGGGACATAGACGACTGGTGGCTGCTGTCATTCCACACGTCACTCCGCCTCAGACCTTCCTCAGATATCTTCTGCCATCTGTACTTCTCCATCTGAATTGGGGTACTTGGAGGATTCTGATACTAAGCTGGAGTGAGAATTATAAAACACGCTCCACAGCTTGTTGCTTTCAGTCACCGGGTTCCTGCTTACGGTGATTTGAAGCCTGTGTTCTTTTTAAAATAGCACATTTCCACCAAAACCCTCTTTCACAGATTTCTTATATTAATGAAGAATATTTGTCTTCCAGTTCGAAGGCCCTTGTGATATTTGCCACCATGTATTTCTGTATCATGTGGTTGCGAGCTGGTGAGCTGAAGTCTGAAGAACTGCCTCACGACCTTCGTGTTTCCCTTCATGAAGAAGAGGGTTGTTTTCTTTGAAAGCTCCTCCACGTCAAACT